TTCGAAATCCGCCCGGCACTGCTGGAGGTCGGTCATATCCCTTCATTCTTCATTTCACTCATCCGCCACGGTCAAGTGCATCTGTCCCCTCCTCCTTGTCACGCCCCGTAACACAACACACACACACACACACACACACACGGCTATTTTATAAGATAACATTGCCGGTTTGTTTGTCTGTGTGCTGTTCAGCTCTTCAGCTATATGTGTTAATCGTTGTTAAAATGAACTGCCAGTGATGTCTGTGGGTATACACGCGGTCTGTGCGGGTGTCACCCACTTCAGGGTTATCCCGCTCAAGCTATCAGCTAATAGTGTGTGGCAGTGAAGGCGGTCTCATCTCTCTCAGCTAAAAGCTAGAGAATACCTACACCTTAACGCGTTTTGCGAGACATCTACGAATGCCACGTGTGCATCGGAAGACAGTAGCAATGGTACAGAAGGATTTTCTTAAAATTAAAATTTTGGGAAGCGCTGTCTTCAGTGCTTTATTACCTACGCTTCTCAGCTCTCAGATAAGCTTTTTCTACTATTACGAGTTTGTTAATGAGAGATTTTTACGGACTCTCTGAGAATGAGCTAAAAGAGCTGTAAACAGATCTCAGTTGAAGGGGACGGATTGAAAGTTTGCAGATCTTGAAAGCATTACCCTGATGAATCCATCCGTCATTGTCGACGGATAGTAATGAAAAGATACAGGTCAAGGTGATAATTGGCATTTTGTACCCAATTTTGCTCACATTCTTTCTTCCAAATTTAATTGATCAATCAATTAACAATATTGTTAGGCATATAACTTTTTTCGGGTAAAATACATTTTGTTTGTCGTATATTATGTTATTCACAAAGCATCGCTTCTACACAGTTCATTAATTACAAACAAGAGGAACATTGCCTTCTTGATCTCGAGTCTGTAGCTTCAACAATTTCCTGGATAACCGAATCCACTGCGATAGTCAAACTGATGAATTCAGTCAACCAGATAGAAAGTCTAGATTGGTTCAGCGTTAGAGCCCAGCCAATCATTGCCATTGAGTGTGACTTTTAGCCATTATATATTCGTCAACAGCAGTGATTTGTTCATTTCGAGATATCATCTCATACAAAGAACATGCCTAATGCTGGTTAATCAGTGAAGTATAGCCACCGTACTCACCTGTCGCATTTATTAGTTGCTGTGAAAGAATTTTTTGTTAAATAAAGTCTGTCTTAAAGCCTCATCATATTCATTTTAATCAGCACTTCTAAATATTTTTGCGGAACTCTCCGAAACTGCTAAGGCCAGTGAATAAAATTTTGGAGTTATATTTCCAGAAAAAAAAAGTTGGCGTCATGCTTCTGTAGAGTCGTGAGTATACTTTTGTTTTCCTTAAATTTCAAACTCTTTCTATCATTGTGACCATTCATAAGTGTGCTTTACGTTGAACAAGATCAGCTCGATAGCTTGGTTACTTTGACCTCCTCTGCAAACTTCTGTAGATATCTTCATAAACTTAGAGTAAGAAATGAGGCAAACAAACCCACATGATAAAAACATGCTTTCCATTTCGTTACATCAGTGATGGTTTCTTATATTAGTAATGAATCTTACATCAGCCCATCACATCAATGATGATCTCTTCTTTCCAAATGCAGATGATCGGTAGTAAATATTCCTGAACTGGGCCAAATTCTCTTTCAGAATGTCAGGGATTTATGAGGGTGTTCACATAATTGTAGGAAGAATATTTCGTCAGGTGGACTAACATCGTATATAGGACTGTATGTTTTTGAACATGGAAGTTTTACTAATTTTGAGCCTGATTTTATCATCTAAACATCTGTTAGTTTCAGTTGAGTGTGGATGTAAGTTGTCATTAGAAGGCATTAAATATAACTGTTCTTGCGAATTTTTACGATTAATTTGTACAGACTTGGACAATTGGGGAAAATATTAATGATTTACACTTACTCTTTCAATTTTTTTATCTTCTGGTAACTACTGGATTGGAAAATTGATAGGGTGGAGCAGAAACCGATAAAGGGTTAGTGTCCCACTGTTTCAAATGACTACTGGTTCAGTAACTGGACATACTGACGTAGACTTTAATTTTCTTAAAGATGAGATGTGGTTGAAAGGATGTTACTCATGTTCGAAAAACTGGTAAATTTCACATGATATTTCCACTCATTTTCCATTGTTCTCCAGGAACTTCCAAAAATCATTTTTGGCCAAGAAATATGTGCTTTTGTATTCGCTGATAGGTGCCGTTTGTTGTGTGATTTATCATCCGCAACTTCAACACCATTTCTCATCAGCAACAATCCACAAATATCGTTCAATATCTTATCAACCTTCTGCACCATATACCAAATAATTGCAAAGATAGCTATACTAACAGTTCACTAAATGGTTTTCATCCCTTTCAATATACGATCTCAATAGTTATATCATTCAGAGTTCGTAGTATTCGACTTGTTACGGTAACTAATTAAAATTGATATTTAACTAGAAAATATGTATGCAAGGTATCAAAATAGTCTCATTCTCATAATTTCAATATCTTATCAAATAAGACTTCTAGAGGACTAAATTTTGGGAAACGAGTAGGAGAGATTTCGATAGAGGGCAGAGCTCTACTGAATAAAACCTTCATTCATATTTTGTATCAAAAGTGGAACATTTGTATCACTGAAAGAGTATTAATTCAGTATACATTACTCATGAAGATATCAAAACAGAATGACTGTTTGCTAGTTCCGATGTTCTCTTCAAACGTCAACGTTTTATGAGCTGCATTCATAATGAAATTGAATCTAAATAGTATCTCAGAGAAGTGACTTGTATCACCTGTGAGTTCTTCGTTGCAAGCAATGCCACTCTTTTTTGAATTTGCAAAATGAGTTGTGTTGGAGTCGTTAGGATACCTATTTGGACTTTTTATTCACTACCATTAGGTTTCTTTGTTAATTTCGTAGACAGTAAGGTATAGTAGCTCACTTGATGAAGATTTTGGCAAATAAAATATAAAAGGGGGTACTAATACTATTACTGATAGTAGCAGTTACCAGTTACTATTACTATTAGTATTACTGCTACCATCACCATTGCAGAATACATCATAACTGTCGCAACTACGGTAAGCAAGCAAAAATAGCAGTAGGAAGCGAATTGAATTGACCCTGAACTCTTTAGACGGTGTAGCATGCGGGCGAAAGTCCCCATTTCCTCGTTACCTTGTTACCCTTAAAATTAGGTCATCGGTAGGGATCACCATTTCGTGAATTTTAGATTTTCGGAAGTATGAAACAGAGCGACAAGCCATGGGTATGCATAGTTGGCAGCATTCAGATCGTCGCAGATTTCTCCTTCTCCTCCTTCCCACAGGAAGTTTAAATTTTACTATTATGAATTCGGCATTTAATTTGATCGTGTTTTGTTTAGGAAACGACTGTGTTTTCCTTTCATAGCATTCATCGAGCCACCGATGTATATTATGTAATCCACTGATCAAAGATCATGTGGAAGCCGTTCATCGTATATCTCTATTTTCAATATCCTCTTGTGACAAGTAATTACCTACTTTGGCCTGCAGAATTTGGAGTTTCGAATTTCTGAATACTTTAGACTCAACTTCTAACCTTTTCTAATAGGGATATCCATTTTCCTGATCGGTCATTTTTTTAACTCAAATCAGTTGAGAGTTTGAGATTGAATAGCTTTTTATCTTCCCCGGTAGACTGTTAGAGTCGGTGAGGGAGATTTCTTCTAATTTACGGTTTTAAGGATTTTTTGCACTAAACAAACATTTATACAGAAATAAGTGAAATTAGATAATGCTTAAAAATAGGTTGAAGGATTATGGAAATTTTCATATAAAGCCAACATAAGAAAAGATTAATCTGTTAATCTGTTCTGGTCCTTTTCCATACGAAACACGACAAGCTTGACATTTCTTTTATGCTTTCATGGTGATCTTCAGCTGAATGTTAGTCATTTCGTTTACTAACTATGTAAATGACGCACTTTTTATGAAATCGGTCATTCTTCATATATTGGCATATAAATTTAATTCAAGTACAAGGTAGTGGAATAAATAGAAATAGAAATAAATGGGGTAACTATAATTTCATCACTGGAAGAGTTATCTATTTATTTGGCTGATGAAGATGGGCACCGAGCAGCTGGAATGGCTTTTTATTGGTGTCATTTTGGAGTTCCGCTGGTGCTGCTTGCTTCAGCCATCCATCCATCAATCTCTCCTTTTACTATTAGTGAGACGATTTTGTTGAGAGTGTCCAGAAGAGTTAGCATGGTTGAGACAAACTTTCATGATTTCAGTTCATATTTCCTGTCACAACATTCATCTGTGCTTCTCATATGGTTCCATTACTTCTTCATTTGTCATTTCCTCACTCTGATCGAAAATTTCTTTTTATCCTGCCCTAAGGACTGATGACTGATATAAATCCCAATGACTAAAAGTTCTGCTGATGTCTCCAAAATCTCCGTCATTTCTTCTTGTGATATTCTAAACCGTTATCTAAATATTTGTATCGTTATTTGAAATGCAAATCGGTTTTCAGAAGGTAATGAAATGGGACGAAAGGCTTGCAAGATTGTCAAAGAAAGGATTATATTTGAGGATTACTAAAGAGTGGTTTTCCATTGAATGAGGCAAGATGCTCCTAGGCTACGGTATGTCGGTGACTGAAATTGAGGGACCACTAGCATGCTTAGATATTCATTTTCCAACATTATGGGTACTTTATAGAAATAATCCAGATGGAGTTTCCGTTGGAAAGAAATTTAGAATTAATATTGATAACTAATGTCCTGATGATTTACATTTCAACCTTTATTTACTCACTAAATCAAGCTTAGATACTCTGAAGTAACGCTAATACAATAAGGACCAGGCCAGATATTGAACAAGAATATTTCAGAGGTAGTAACTTTAGCTATACTGTGGATTTATCTTATCATTTGGAAATTTGAGAAATATTTGGATTTCATTAAATTTCTTAATGATTTATCAGAATTGATGAATAATATCTGCTAGAAGATGTGAAAAGACGGTATTATGTGAAGAATGGTTATCTAGACTGATTACAGAACCGTACTATCCTCCCTTTGCGAATAGCAAAAATTGAATGGTTAGCATCGACAATGTTTTAGGGATATTCTCATTATCCTTTTGCTTCCATAGATATCTACTTTTTGTTTTGTAATGGAGTGAAAGTTCCACTTGAAGAATTATATGAGGTCTTGATTAGCTAACGGATTGATAGGCTTAGGTGGTTTTAACATGTGAATAATTTACTGTACCTGAGATGAGATAGAACTTTACATAATATATTTAAAATAACATAAAATAACGCTTATTTTTTTATGTTTATTTTTTATGTTTTTTTTGGAGCTTAAAAAAATAAAAAGAAACATTAAAAATTATAAAAAACATAAATAATACACATAAAAAAATTCCATTGCATATGAGATAGTCAACAATATCTGACGTGAAATATCCATGTGAGTTACCAGGGTTTAAACTACAAATACCTGAGCATTCAATATATTGGGTTGATCACAATCGACAATGGCTGATTGTATCAACTATTTGATCGTTTGTCATACGTACTTCATTCGCTGATTTGGTTGAGTAAAATGCTAAAATTTTGCTACACCGCGTATTCCAACAATGCGATAGATTCATTTATTTACTCTTTTTGCAAAAATTAATTCAACAGCTACAAAAAGTTGTTTTGTATGGTTATTTATTTGGGTCGATACATGAACTTGCAAGCTCACGCATCTCGTAGATGATCTGATTCTTCATAAATCACCTTTTGAGAAGGACTTCCTTAAAGGGGCAAAGTAGCATTCAACGAAAATGACTGTTGCTATGCGCGCTAAGTGTTTTGAGTAAGAGTAGGAGATGAAAATTTAGGTCTTAGCAGCATTAGAAAATCTACTAATCGTTGACTGAAGTCATAATTTACGGTAGGAATAATAACTTTCAAGATTTCGAATAGTTGTATTGTGTGCAGGTTTCATTTTGCCCATCCCAGGATTTTTATCTCTTGAAAATGAATAAAATCTTGCCTGAAGCTAACCTATCATAGGAACTTGAAATTACAAAAATGAGTGAAATGACGACATTCATAACTAAATGAGGCGCTTTACTGACATATATCCTGCCAACTACCCAAAAAAGTGAGTTAGAACTTTAAAGATAAATACGCAAAGGCCAGTATGTATATACTTGTACATTTATAATTTTTCCATGCGTTGTTTAAATGTTTTCCTGAATTGCGAAGCACGTGCAGGATATCAATTGAAAACAAAGTTTGAAATCCGAATGACACTGAATTAAATAACTTAGCTTTGACTATGTAGTAAAAGAAATGACTACGCCATTGTTCACTGATAATTTCAAATTCCTATAGCTATGTGATTGGATGCCTGAGCGTTTGGATGGTTACTTGGATGGATATCAGGAGTTTTCTTCGGATGAGTCCAGTATTCCTAGAGAAGGAGCTTAGAGTGTGTTGAAAAGTGATAATATTCTCATTTAGTAGTATCAAAACTTACTTGGCCAACTATTTAAAGGAATCTTGGAAAATTATATTGCAAGCTTTTGGATGGTATAGTCCAAAAGTGCATGGTAGAAATTACAGCTGCCTTCCAAACAGATTTTGAATTATTTCATGAAATAGTGACCTGAAAAGTAAAGATGTAGGGGGTTTATTCATTATATCACATTAAGCTACTACTCCATATTGGTTTCAGGAAGGGAAGAGATGATATTGCCTTCCGAGCCATTTATGAAGGCTATGCGGGTGGGCTTATTTCTAAGCTAGTAGTGGAAGGAGTCTATTTATTGTTTTCAACTAATTTGGAAAGGATCGCTTCCAGTATGACTTCCGAGAATACGGTATCTTGTGATGCGTCTTCATTCTCGATCAATAGGGCATTCAGACTTATACTCTCTCTCTGTTATATCATTATAAGATGGGATGTGATCTTGTAGGAAGGAAGGCGAAGAAGGAAGCTGGAACATAGAACGACCAACCGACGTGTTCATCGCTGCTGCTGCTGCTGCTGCTGCTGGTGGTGGTGGTGGCTTGAAGTGTTTTGGCACGGACCATTTCGATTTTCCTGGCATTGCTGCTGCCTATTGGAGGAATTCCCAGACCAAGAAGCTCTGATCCACGACCTTTGCCCCGCCCCGAGACTAAAGTGTCATCTGGGAAAGAGATAAGAAGAGAGTCGGCAACCTATACATCTATCGGCTCTCATTCCACTTCTGCTACTTACTGCTGTCACTTTCTCGTACTGCCCTTAGATAACCTCTACCTAACAATTTAAAAATAAAAGCACTGAACGAATTTCCTGGCCACCTGGCCAATAGAACACCATTTATAGCATAATCGGAAAGCGTGACGTGCAGGAAGTGATAAGAAGTGCATGAAGAAAAAGCAATGGAAAGAGGAACACCGTGTTCCCACTGTGGAAATGTCCGTACCTGTAGTATGCTCCTCCTGGATGAAGTCCAACATCAGAAACCCAAGCACCAGCAACGCGGATGCTAGCATCCAGGTAACTTATTAATATATCTAGAGGTATCGTTTTTGTAGGAAGTGTTCATGTATTATAGTTGACATGCCAAACACTTTGAATTCATTATGGGAAATGTATATAATATAATTGGAGGACTCACGATCGTCGTCTGATACGAGCAGCTCTGATTCGGGTAACGCATCGAATAGCGGGGTACCAGGCGGTAGCGGTTGTAGTGTTCATCCGGAAAACTCACCAACTGACAAACAGTTATTGCTTGGTACCGAATGTGTGGTGTGTGGTGACAAGTCGAGTGGAAAACATTATGGACAGTTTTCATGCGAAGGATGTAAATCATTTTTCAAAAGGTATCCCAACTCTTCATTGCAACACTTCAATTATACCGTTGTTAGGATAAGCCTTTCTCAAGAAGTAGATAAGTATGCCAATTTGCCTTTCAAATTTACTTTTATTTTAGCATTTTAGAAAAATGGGAAGCAAATAAATTAATTTCTTTGCGACAACTAAAATATGGTTATTCCAGTAATGGTAGTAATATATAATTATTCAAAAATCAGTGCACTTATGGTATCAGCAGTTAACGCCACCTCATTTGAAAAAAATTTCTAAAATTTACTTTCCATTCAAAACATTCGATTTTCTTGTACGATACTATGGAATTCATAGTTGTTTTAATGGTTAGTTAAGACGTTTATGATATAATCATCGTTGCTACATATAATTACTCTTCTTAAACATAGGAAAATGAATCAAAATAAATTTAAGCATTCTCGCGGACACTCAGCATGTCACTTTTGCATTGTTCATCTTTTTTATTATTGTTGATCTATGCATGTATTTATCTTTGAAAATTTGCGAAACCTACATTCTTTCAACTTAAATTGTTGGAGCTACAATTATCTACCACAACTTGTATTCTCTCCGTAAAAATACTGACAGGATGAGGAAAAAAAATTGATTTTTGTAAAGTCTGCTACCAGTGGTTATTTCAAGAAGTGCTTTTCTGTCGTGATTTTTACTTGCACCTGCATCGCATTAACATCTATTGCTTTTGGATCACATCGATTTTGAAATTCGTGTGATTTCGTTGTTAATATAGCTAAGACTCTGGAATCAAAGAGAAAACAGGTTTCATACTTCAGATCAATAAGACGAAGTCTTAATTACACATGTCGCGGTTCTAAGAACTGTCCAGTGGATGTGAATCATCGAAATCAGTGTCAGTATTGCCGTCTGAAGAAATGTGAAAGAATGGGAATGCGCAAGGAAGGTTTGTTGCGCCTTATATTTAACGTTTGTTTCTAGTATTTAACAATTGTCCGTTTAGTTATTCTTTTGCTAACCTCATCGCTACAAGAAAACATCAGTATTTATGTTCAGTAATTAGTCAACCAGTTCAGTTGAAAGGGCTTTTCTTATATCCACTTTGTCGAGCTGCCAGCACAAAAATTTGTTACGCCACAAGTGCCATCCTGCGCCGAGCACTGATATCCATTGACTTTGTTAGCTTTCCAAATCAATCTTTTGTGATTAAGAAACCTTCTTACTCACAAGCATTAAAAAATTAGGTAAATTGTCAACTAATAATTCTTTTATCTGCAATATTTCCGTTTTTATTGGGTTAACTTTTATGAGTTCAAGTTTAAGTGGAATTAAGGTTTGATTTCACGACTCACAACAAGTTATCTCATTCAGCCAATGAGCTATTTGTGGTTATCTCATTCAGACAATGAGCTATTTGTGGCCATTTATCTAGAGTAAATGAATGTAGCTACCGAATTTGGCTTTAAAGGATTGTGTGTATGAGTGCGAAGAGGAATTGCATCTTGATGCAGATCCTCCAAGTTCAGAACCTGGACTGTTTTGTTTACTCAGTTTCCATCCTGTTTGTTCATTAAATCATTTTTCTGTGATGCAAATAGTAATGTTAACCATTGCTTGATAAGACTGTAATTTAAGGTAGAAGTTTTATATTATCAAAATATTGTAAGGAGTTTGAAACTTTGTTTTTGGTATTCATGTGACAGAGAGGAATTTAACAAATGAGGCATCAGGCACCTGTTGAAAAATGACACTCGTCAAATGAGGCAGGCAATATTTACGAACAAATTTTTCAGCAGTACAACGCGGAAGGATACCACCAAATGCGCAGAATGTTTACTCCTCGACAGTTCTTTTTGGTGAACGATTACTGGCAGTAAATCAGGGTGTTGGTTCCCAATTTTCATCCATTGTGACGCATCTCATTCGTGCTGAACCATATCCGCCTTGTAAGTGCTTTTACTGTTCTTTTTATTTATGAGTTGACAGGGGAACATAAACAGATGCCAATTGTTTTAGCGAAGGTCATTTCAGGATTGATCCTAGTGTTCCTGTTCCTTGAAAAAATTGTAGTTTTTCAGTGACTGTTTGATGGAATGTTTTTTATTGGGCTAAATCACATTTCGTATCTTTTCCAAAGAAATTGGAAATATTCTTTTGTTCCTAAAGAGACATGTAGGACATTGGACAGATAAGGCACCTTCAGAAAGTGACATTTTCTCAAGTTCGTAATAATCGATATTTCACATAAAATTTTGTAACCTAACTAAGCTGGTGTTTTTCATACAATTATTTTTTGTCCTTGTAGTCAACTCGGAAGATTAATCTTCCAAAAAAATTGATCTATTAGCAAGGTTTACTGCAGCACAACGATTTGACGAAATGTTTGTTGGGACTTTATTAGTCATTTTATCCTAAACGGTGAGAAACATCTGTTCCTCAATAGGTTTACTGTCAGAATCCTTTACACATTTTATATTGGATCATTAAGCTTTTCAACCGAAATTGCTACATATATTTATGTCGGCAATTTGAACAAAGAGTTCGAAATACGGAATTTACAAGTAATTATAAATTGTATTGTTTTTTCTGAATACTTCTGTTTATCGTGGGCAGTTCAAAGAGAGTTAATTGAGGTACCATATTAACATTAAATATTTAATATTTGTTTCCTTACTATATGATCTTTTAATATGGAGCATGCTTCTTTCTATTTCGAAAAAAAGATCGCAAAAAACACCATTTCACCTTTCTTAAGTATTGGGAAGGTGAAAGTGCAGTTCAAAATTTGCAGAGGCAAAGTTTTGAAACATAGACTCATATGCTCAATTCTGTTTAGCCGAACTTTCTAACAGAAAGTTACATTTTATAGAAGTGTTGTCACAGGGAATTCTCTTGTACGAAAACTCAACATTATGTTTAGCTTTTTAATTGAAAGTTTCTGGTAACAACCATCAACATTTTTTTCCTCATTTAAACATCAAACACTACGCTTTGATTTTAAATAATTCATATAATAGAGTAGTTCTGTTGATCCCCTTCAGATTGCCTAGTTTTTGATTTTGAAGAGAAAAATGAGTGTTCCGTCCTTTAAATTTCAGACAAACAGTATTATAAAAACTTTTCGAAACACTAGTTTTTAAATTAAAATTTGGTTAGAATTTGAAGAGACTACATGGGATTTAGAGAAGATGGTTCTTTGCCATTGGCCTTAGCGACCGTTATTAGTTTGAACAGTGGCAGATCACCTCTTCAAAAATAGATATTGTTTAGAAAACAGATTTGTATTTCTCGATGATTTGCAATATTATATAGAACTTTATGAAGCCTCGGTTTCTTCTCATATATGATTTACTCTTTTAATACTGCTTAGCTTAGTTCCCTTTTATTACTCAATGAATAAATTCGAAAAGTAACTCAGTTTCACGCTGATATCGTAGAACATACACTAGTATACCTAGTGTTAAATGAGGGTTATAATTTAATATTGGATGACATCACTTATTCGTTCTGCGTCAAAGTTTTTGGAAACAATCAACATGTGGGTAATCTTTTGTAACTTAAAAAGACGGTTATAATGATTGCATTGGAAAATTGAGCTGAATTTACGCTTATCTAAACTAGGAAATATTAAGTATAGACAGAGTAAGGGAAAAAAACAGTAAGAATCTTAATAAAAACTGCACTGAAAGAAGAGCAGGATTTCATTTATTGTCACAAGTGAATAGATATAAGTTAACTGATGACTAAACACTCATAAAAGTATTCCAGGTAGCTCGTCGTCAAATTCAATTGGAATGGATAATATCTATGAGTTCGGTGCCAAGTTGTTATTTTCTGCTGTTGAGTGGGCCAAGAATATTCCATTTTTCAATGAACTTAGTGATACTGATCAAGTACACTCTTTTATTCTTGTCATTCTTCCATTAGGTCGAATTCAGGACCCAGCGCAGTAACACAGATATCTCGCAGCTTTTATTTCACCTCAGTTACTACGCTTGACAAACGTAAAATGAAAACTATTGCAGAACCTTTCTTTTTGTTAGGGTGTAACACCTAATTTACAGTCAAGGTGCAAATAAGTAAGTTGTTACAAGGCATTTTAAGTTGTTACAAGGCATTTTGCTATACTTCATCTCATTTGCAGAACTTTTTATTGACAAGCTATCCGAATACGATCAGATCTCTTACTTGAGTTGCTACATTTTTTTTCTCAAGCAATAATATTTTACAGTTGACACTACTTCGAGCAAGCTGGGCCGAATTGTTCGTAGTGAATGCAGCACAGTTCGGTATGCCGGTACATGTAGCACCTTTACTTGCTGCCTCTGGTTTGCATTCCTCTCCTCCGTTACCAACCGATCAGCTAGTTGTATTCATGGATCGGATACGTGTTTTCCAGGTGATTTCGTCTTTATTTTCGTCCTTGTCGTTTCGAACAAGCAAATATATTTGGACATAGCTTAAATGTGTTCCCTTTATCTCAGCTTATATTTTAGATGTACAGAAATTGTGCTGTAATTGCACAGAGTTGTCTAAACCTATTTCAGCAGAGTAGAAACAAAAAGAAAAAACGCATGCTTTGTTTTCCAAAAGTAGTTTTGGATGATATCAGACTGATATATAGCCTGATATCAAATCTGATGTTATTAATCTAATATTGTTTCTCCCATATCAAGAAACTAAGTATTTTTTGGCAATATATTAGTACGAAAACGAAAGTTACGAAAGTATGAAAGCACCTGTATTTTGGATTTATTATAGGGTCAAATCGAACGTTTAAAGGCACTGCAAATGGACTCAGCTGAATTTTGCAGCCTGAAAGCAGTTATATTATTTAGTGTTGGTTAGTCTTTTGATGTTTTATCCCTTTTTTATTTTTTTTACTTAAATTTCACCTATACCTTAGGTTTTTAGGGTTTATAATCTAGAGTGAAATTTCGATAGAAGAGATCTTTCTTGAGGGTGATTATAGATAACGTAAGAACTTTATCAATGTCTTTTTTTTCTAAATTATTACTTCTGTCATGCTGAACACTTTGCTCATCATGAAAAAAAATAGTATAATATAAAAATGTAATAAAAATATAGAACTTTTGTTTTGAAACTTTCATATAATTTCAAAATGAAAATATAAACACTGACAATATTTGATATGCTTTCACGACGCATATTGTCATTAAGAATTTTAATTAATAATCTTAAATATGAGATTTATTATATATAATGAATTACATCCACAGTGGAAAGGCTTTGCTTTGGTCTATGTCAAGGACTGAGAAAATGCTTTAAAGAAAGGGGTGAAAGGCCTTAAAATAGGATGTTGAAGGGAGGTTCTAGAAAAAAGAGGTAAGTGGGTCAAGAAAGTGCAATTTCTCTCTCCCGGTGCAAGTGAGACATATTTTTGCCAGAGCGAACGAACAAATGGATCATTCCGACGGAATAACTGCACCAATTGAATCATAATTATCGCTTAACTTGCAAAACTCAGATAGGACAATGAATTTCAGGTCTAGAGACAGGATTTCCAAAATAATTTTGATCAGTTACAATTCATCAAGTATCAATTTCAGTAGTGTGGACAGTGATTCTATAATGGCTGCAAACTGATGGTTTAGGTCGGTAACCGAATCTAAGTTACTGATGACGTGAAATAATGAGCTTTGCAAAAGAGAAAAACTTATGACTCTGATTATTGTTTTCACGCTTAACATGGCATGGTAGCCATGCCTCTGTGACGCTTCAGTAGTGATAGTCCGTTTTGATTATTCAAGCTTTTGGAAATATTCGATTTAGTACACAGTAGATAGCTGCAGAAGTATCAAAGCCTTCAGGTTGGTGCACATGATATCTTGTCCTTTTCGGTGAATCTCAGTCATTTTTGCACATTGAAATGTGGGCAGAACTGTACATGCTTCAAAAACCACCGAAAATTTTGTTTATTTTTAATTCACCTTTAAGAAAGGACAGATTTAGGGTGTGAAAGAGGAGGAGGGAAAACGATCAAAATTAGTTATCTGATATTTCCACATGAGATGAGGTGGGGAAGAATGATACTATGTGTTGCAGTACTGTGATGTACGTTGCAGGTTTCTTTTTTTATTTACGTGTTTTTTCTTTTTTAATTTCTGTTTGAGCAGCACTGCTTGAAACAGTTGCGCTTCAAACTTGTTGGATGGTGTGTAATTTTCTGATGTATTTGTATACTAAATACGCAATCGTCAGGGACTCCTTGTGGCTCTGTGCAGAACGACATTATGATATAGAGTTTAATATTTTTATGTACTTGAAAAGTAAGATACTTTAGATCATAAGATAAAAAATAACTGGTAGCAGGAAAACATAACACCCTCTCCAGTTGGGAAAAAGATAGTTCTGTAGTTTCGAAACTTTTAGGGTCTTTGTAAGGTCACATTTTTTGCAGATTGTTGTGGGCTAAATGATGTTATACGAGTGGAAACGATACAGGAAAAGGTTCAATCGGCACTGGAGGAATACTGCAGGACACAAAAGCAATTGCAGGTCTATTTTTAATTGTTTGAAAGGAGAAAAAGAGGAGCTTTGTAAAGCATTGCCTAGTAATTTTTTATAGTTATCAAGTGATATTTCAAATGAGAAGTTTCTTTTATAATGAGTTGCTAATGAATTTAAACAGAGTTACTGCAAGCAGAAGTCGGATTTTGGATTTTAGGTCGGACGATTCGGTCGTTTGTTGTTACGATTGCCGAGTTTAAGATCGATCAGTGCATCTGTAATCGAGCAGTTATTTTTTGTGAAATTAGTTGGCGAAACACCAATCGAATTTCTACTCAGGGATATGCTTGGAACGCAAAACGAAAATGTTATCAAGTCATTTGTTTGGCCTTGTCAGCTACGTTTATGATATATTTAGTATAAAAATTTATGAAAGTCCTTCGTCTGTTAAATTTTGTTTATTTCCTTTGCAGAGATAAAAGAAGTGCTTACTACGTCTAATGAAGGTTCAATAACTCAGCTCTTTGCAAATAAAGGTCACTGTCTTTCAAACTACGACGAGTATAGTTATTTTTTCTTCTGGAACCATTCTGCTAATTCTTCAGCAAAAGTAAGAATATACCGTCATATTTTGTAGTTCATCAAATGTCAGACATGCCCATTACGAGCAGAAAATAATAATTAATTAGCTTCCGCTCAAGTGGCCAAAGACAGCGTCCTTTTTCTCCGTGCAACTTTTGTGCCCAAGCAGTTGCCCAAAGTTTTTGTGTCAAATTTGTTATCCTAACTCATTTGTATAGAATTTTTCTGGATTCTAGATTATATATTGGTTGTCCACTTTACTCTTGTTCCATCGGATTATTGAAAGTTCTATGCAAAATTATTTTGTATTTTTCGCATATTTCTCATTCTACTCCTCATTTTCACCCTTTCTGCGTTTCCTGCAGTCGCACAAGAATTTCGCGTGCTTTCTTCTCGGTTCAAATTTGTCATTTTCTCTGTTTATATTTTAATACAGCCAAAGTTTGCTTTGTACAATATCAGACCGGTTTTTTTTGCCATTTATGTTTGGTGGTAATTTTGCTTTGGAATGTGCAATCTTTTTTCAACTGCTTTTGTACATCTTATACGAATAATTACAATGACTGTTATAAATTGGTCATTACCTGTTCATCTTCATACATTGAAATACTGTTGGAGGAGGGAGGAAGACGAAAAAGAGGAAGTTAAGTGTGTTTAGTTCACATGTGCTTTACCATAAACCAATCTCAGCATTTGTGAATCCACTAATTTTTGTCCACATTTTCAACTCCACTTTTACTGTTTCTTGTATCTGGTCCGGTATGCGTTTTTTGGTTCATTTGATTTGTTTCTTTTTCAGTTTAAATTAGGCTTGAGTTCCAGGAAATCGTTTCCTGCTAGTCATTGGAAGCACGCATTCTGAACTTGAAGCATGCAAGGAATGCTTGATGCTCACCTCTTTATATTTTTTGTAATATTGATGTTGAACATGTACTTTTTGACTTGCCTGTTTAGGAACAGTAAAGGCTCTAAGGACATCACATTTCTGAAATTGAAGAATTGAAGTCATGGAACGTACAAGGGTTGATGAAGTCTCAGTTTATATGGAAGAGAGAGGAGCAGGCGAAACTCATTCCTTAAGGTTGGAGAACAGTAATGTATATCACAGTTTAGAAGCTTCTTAATCTCCGAGGGCAGAACAGTAATGTATATCACAGTTTAGAAGCTTCTTAATCTCCGAGGGCGTTCGGAGGGCAGGATGACCAAAATCATTTATCATTCAAGTATTTTGGGAGTGTAAGAATATCATTCTCATTTGTGGGAGTGAAGTGGATCAGAATGGATGAAGTGATGGGAAGGACAAAGGGCTTCAATTCACGAAATTCCAGAAGCAAGTTGATTTCGATTGATTTATTGAGAAATGATATGAGGTAACTAAGGGTAGATAGATGGAAAGTTATGTTTAGAAAAAAGTTATGTTGTGGGAAGTTATGTTTTCAACAATTTTTAATAATCCCCGTCGTAACTTACGGTTACGCTTAATAAATTTGGTTTCTTCACAACTTGGAACAGTAAAAAAATAGAAAATGCAAGAGTCATTTGTATCTTCGCTTAATTCATTGCTCTCGAAATTTCCAAAAAGGGAAGAGGAATTTGAGATCTTTCTGAGGAAATCGATACAGCGAGGGTTACGAATTATCAATCGTCAACCGTGCCTGCCATTCATTTTCTGGCTGCTTCGAAACAGAAACAGAAAAGATGTGAGTGGAGTAGAAAGGAACGAAGCAGAACAGTAATGGAGCAAAATGGAATAAAGGAGGGTTGGAAGCGGACAGACGTGAGTGGGCTTTGTAGGCAGAGTCTGTTTATATCTTTTGTCGTGTGGTCATACATGGTGCGGTCGTTGCATGCTTCCTGTCCTTTCTGTTCCATTCCACTTTTCTAGCTTTCGTGAAATCTGTGTACAGACGAGATATCACGTAACGTTTCCAGTGTTTTTAGTGCGTGAAATGGGGTTCTACTTTAGTGGAGTGAACTTTACTGTATTATTTATATAGTTGCAGGAGTTCGATTTGTATGGTTTCGATGACCTAGAAAGAAACAGTTACTTGGCTGAGCACTTTCGATTCTCCTCCTCCATTTCATTATTAGTGCTTTTTGGAGCTGTTGTCACTAACTGAATTAAGGTAGTTACTGCATCAATATCCGCTTTCTCTTTTCTTTCATTGGTTCCAGCACTGATACCTTTAGAAGTTGAAGGAGTCTTTGCTTCGATCGCAGTTTGTTATTTCAAATTCATTTCCACACCCTTGCAGTGCTTTACGGCTCAAAATACAGTAAGCAGTATTGATTTGTGTTGATTGTTTCACGGCTGACTGCTGACTCGATCAGCTTGTTATGAATCTTTCCTAACTGTCCAGAGTTTCAGGTAAAGTATATTAACCGTATATAAACAGATAGTAGTTTTTCGCAGATATTTGATGTTTGTTGACTTTTATGTTTGCTTCACTTATCCATACTGACATTTGCTTCACTTTTGTTGTACCTCATTTCTGATCTCTCTCTAGAAAGATGACAATATAACAAAATCTTCATTTAAATTACAAGCGTAGTTTTGAAACTTTATTTGAAATTTAAATTTGAAGTATAAGATGACTAGTATTATGGGATTCACATGGTCGTGCTCTTCCTTTTTTTGTTTCCTTTTGTTTGTTAAATCGATATGCACGCATTCTGGGCACTTTTGCCGCGGTAAATGATATAACCAATTGACGACGAACAGTGCTTAAAATTTCAGGCAGCAAATCAGTGGGGAGAGGCTTCTGCATTTCAATTTTTACGAGCTAGTGAGAAAATCTGAATGAACCGCGACTCTTCCCTTTTAGCTATTTCATGTGCTATCGCTCCTCGTGTTAAGAGATGAAGGCCGAGTGACTTGCTCCCCTCTCAGTCTGAAAAAGTTCTTTTCATTGTTGCAGATGTTAACATCATTTTGCGCTCTTTCTCGAAATGAACATTTCTTTAATTTAGTGTGAGAAATTTTTATATTTAATGACTTAGCTATTAGTGTTGTATGTGCTGTTATATCGGGTAGTACGGTTCAGCCTTCACCTAATTTCTGCCTTGATTCATTTGATATAAATTTTCTTGCGGTATCTGTTCCGAATGCATCTTCAAACTGTTGCAGTTTGTTGGTTTTTTTTTTTAAATTTTCCTATGCGTCTTTTTTGCAGCCGATCAGCCGATCTTTTCTCGCTGCACTCATCGGAGTTCAGTTCGAGATATCGGACAACATATAGAACTTATCCTGATTTCGGTTTTTCCCAGAATTCATGATGGGAAGGCAATGAAGTTCCAGTGGGCTGTCCAGATCGTGTTTATACTATCCGGTGAAATGTTTCGCAATTATGTTATTCCATCAAGCTTGTTTTTGAAACAGGAACAGTATTATTTAATCTCATGAAATGTTAATAGCACAAATTAAGATCAAAATTAAAATCCTTTCATTTAAGGAGTTCGGCGTGCGTATTACGGCTTTTTATTTTTTCAGTGACTTTTTCCTTTTTTGTACATTTGGCGGTTTTCAGTTGTTTAGAAATAATGACAGAACGCGCTACAAAATCTGGTTTAGCATTAGAGGCTCAGCGTAAAATACAAGGAAAATATGATAGCGAATTGGCTGAACAACTTCTTGAGTGGGTTGCCCAACTCACCGAGAAAAATTTTTCAACTAGTGGTGATGTTACGAATTTTTTGGAAGTCTTCAGAGATGGCACGGTGTTGTGCAGGTAACTTACATAGCTAACTCGAGTTGTTTATATGCTATTGGAAAGGTAATCGTTCAGTATCTGCAATTATCTACAGAGAATACTTAATCAGGTTTGAGAAGTGTCTAAAAATTTTTTTGAAAAGTGTCTAAAAAAAAATTACTTTAGCCAATCGTTCATTTTTAAGAAAAAATGAACGATTGACTAAAGTAAATCCTTTTCTAGATAAAGATCATGAATGCAATTTTTTAATGCAGTGAAGGGCTTTGAAGGAGAAGCAGGAGTTGGTATTGGCGAAAGGCAATTTAAAGGAAAAAAAAACTAAGTAATCGTAACTCGGTGTCATCCAGTTGTTTTGGAAGTTTACTTAGCATAAACTTATACAATTCTTTTTTCGGACATTTTTTTTTCTTTTTTTCTGACGGACATTTGCGGACATATGGAAGAATGTTTCAGCCTTGCAAATGCCTTACAACCTGGTTCAGTGAAGAAGATTAACGCTAGTTCAATGGCTTTCAAACAAATGGAAAATATTTCATTCTTTTTATCGTTCGTCGAAAAGCATGTCACTAAGTCAGAACTTTTCCAAACAGTTGATCTTTTCGAGGGTCAGGATCTAAACGCGGTCATTGTTTGCCTTTCATCATTGGCCAGAAAATCTGAGGAGTTGTTTGGAAAACCTGGCTTAGGCCCAAAGTTAAGTGAAATTTTACATTTCGTTAAGCCTTAGAAATTGTAAATAAATAATTAACCTCTACAAGCAGAAATCCTGCAATTGCCGGTCGTATTTACAGTCAACCTGCATTCTAGATGATATAATATCTGAGTTCAATGATTTATATACTTTCAACTAAAAAATATTGCTCGTTGTTTCTCATTCGTTATCACCTTCCCTTTTATATACATATGGTGAAACTATTAGTTATACAAATACCAATTTACCAACAGTTTTATTTGCACTTTCATAGACGTGAATGTGTAGAATAGTAGATTATCAAGTTTTATTAGCTTATTTCTTGATGATCTGAGTTCAATAAGCGAGTTTGAGAAATAGATTTGTTTTAGGAAATGATATTTACGAAACGTTAAGGAAGCATGCGTTTGAAACATAAATGTAAGTTACACTAAGGAAGTAAAAGATACAATCAGATTGCAGTTTGCTTTGGGTTGGTATCTAAGAAATGCTCACATATAAAGCAATAAAAAGTAGCGGGTTTTAGGTGCGAAGTGCATTTGCAGATTCACTGCATTGAAGCACTTCTTTTACATAGTTCCAAATCAGTCAGTTAGTGATAATTTTAGGCATACAGTTATGAGTTCAGAATGAGTCATTCTGACGTTCCTCGTGAGCTGTTTATCTCAAAGTTTTTTCTTCTAATGGTAGCGAAAACACAAATGCATCCTCCATTTGTGATATTCACAAATTCTATTAAAACATCCTCATATTCCATTAAAAGCTGTGATCAAAAATACTCTGCTAATCGATAACTCGGACTTAGGTGTTGGCATTAATATATTTAATTGCTAAAGTTTATTATAGTAGTCGTCCACCGTAATGATTGGGCTAATAATTTTTGACGTAGCATTTGAAAATATTGCGCTCAACGGGTGTCTTCTTTAGGAGGCGAAAGGACAGAAACGTGAATGGTCGGAGGAAAAGCTTCGTGCCGGTGAAACAATTATTGGACTTCAAATGGGCACAAACAAAGGTGCGAATGCATCCGGTATTAATATGGGTAATACGCGTCATATGTAAATCTATTAAATCCCGAAAACATTGTTGTTCGAGCACTGTCATCGAAAATCTTTGGGTCCGGTAGAGGGAAAGAAGGGAGGGAGATGAGCCAAACTGTTTTCAGAATGACTGCTTCAGGGAATTTGTTTGGATTAATATAATTTCATTTGTGGAACATGATTTAGTGTTCAGAAATGTTGTGAAATAACACCTGAAAAAAGGGAATTCTATCATCATTTCGCTTCTCAGATACTTCAACTCATGAAAAGGAAGTCAACTTGCGTATTCCCCTAAAGGATGTTATTTTGTCGCTAACATTTGATTAATTTACTGGTAACTTCAGGTTTACGTTCTCACTAGTTTAGCAGTTAATAGAAGCATATACTGCGTTTTAAGGGATTGATGTTTAAATGAAGTGACCAGGAGCTAATTTTTTGAATCACTAAATCGCGCTCCAGAATATTGTTTAACACTTTCCGTCCACAGCGATTCTGGTGAAATATTCATGGAGGCTTACTTGATATTGATTTGTCACACAAACGTGTTGCATTACTGCATATTAACTCACCTACGTGTATGTCTTTTCTTGCATTCCGTCCTTTCCAGTGTTTCATTTTAATGACATACTTTCGCTTCGAAGTAAATTATTTTACCATTTGAAACAATATTCTCCTAAACACTGCAGATATTACACAGTCATGCAAGTTATTTGGTGTTTGACGAACCTTATTCAAGAGCATACTGGTGACTGGGTGGAGAACAGTGGTGACTGACTAAGCCATAGTACTGAGTGGTGCACATTGGTGAATGGGTGGAGCATGGTGGTGACTGGGTGGAGCATGGTGGTAACTGGGTGGGGTACAGTAGTGGTTGGGTGGAGCGGAGTGGTGACTGGGTGGTGCACATTGGTGAATGGGTGGAGCGTAGTGGTAACGGGCGAAGCATGGCGATAATCAGGTAGTACTGATTGGGTGGGGCACGGTGGTGTCTGTCTGGGTAGAGCGCAGTGATAGTTGGGCGGGGCACAGTAGTGACCGAGTAGGGCGTGGTAGTGGCTGGGTGGGGCATAGCGGTGGGTGGGTGGGGCACTATGATGGTTGGGCGGAGCGTAGTAGTGGTTGGGTGGAATGTGCTGATGGTCCGAGGGACATATTGGTGGGTGTGGGTGGGGCATGGTGGTGGCAGGCGGGGCACAGTGGTGGTCGGATAATGCTAATTCGGTGGGCCACGGTGATATCTGGATGAAGCATAATAACGACAGGGTGGAGCGCACCAAGTGTCTGGGTAGAGCGCGATGGTGACTGGGTGGAGCGTAGTGGTGACTTGCTGGTGGTGATTGGGTTGGGTGGGACACAGTTGCGACTGAGTGGAGCATAGTAACGACTGGGCGGAGCAAGTGGTAGCATGCGGAGCGCAGTGGTGACCAAATAGTGCTGGTCGGGCGGAGCACGGTGCTACCTAGGTGAGGCATATTGGCAACTAAGTGGAAAATACTAGGTGGAACACGGTGTTGACCGATAATGCTGACCGGGTGGAGCAGGTGGTAAGTGGGGTGCGGCGGTGATTGAGTGAAGCATAGGGGTGACTGGGTGGTGATTGAATGGAACACATATTGGTGACCGGGGAAGCATAGGTAGCAGGCGGAACACAGCTGACCGGATAGTGCTGATCGGGTGGAGCACGGTGGTACCTGGGTGGAGCACAGTGGTGACTGGGTAGAACACGATGGTACCTGGGTGGAGCATAGTAGCAGCTGGGTGGAGCATACCAGCAACTGGGTGGAGCACATTGGTGGTCGAGGAAGTACAGTGGTGACTGGGTGGAGCATAGTGGTGGTTGGGTGGGGCATAGTGGCGACTAGGTCGAGCAAAGTGGTGACTGGATGGGGCATGGTGATGGCTGGTGAACCTTTAGTTTCTGTTTACCGTTGGTGAGACGGTCGATTTTCGTAGCATTTTTTCGCTAACTGTGTACTGTAAGGTAGTGGTTGAGAGACTGACTGTACCTTTACATCCTGTTTAGGATAGTAGAAGTGGGGCATGTAAGGGATTGTTTTGTACTGGGAATTTGAAACATAAGAGGATTTATGCGGCGTAATCGTTGGATAGTTTGTTGCAGGTGGTGGTGCTTCATGTCTTGGCTTACGAAAGTGTCACATATTGCTGGTCGTGCCGAAGATTTGCTCAACCAAATTGACCAAAACGCTGCTGTCGTATGATTTTTTTTAGATATCCTATTTTTGAAAGAGCTGTATAGAATCAAATGTCAAATGATACAGTAGCAAGGCACGAATACATATCTCAGCAATTATTGATATCAGTTTTAAACAATCGTAATCCATGAGCTGCTTCAGAATTGTTTAAGAAGTGTTGTTATTGTCAAGCATGTATTAAGCACTAGCTCATAAACAGTAGTACTTATAAGACTGTCAAGTGAATAGTTTGCTTTCCTTTAAATTTTGATTTTTTACATTTATTGAAGGTAATATTTAAAGGTTTCATGAACATTTCAGTGCAATTTCAGGCATTAAGAAACACGAGAAAAGGTAAGAGTGATTCAGCAGTGAGTCTGATTGACAATGAAGGGCAGGGAACAAAGAAATTGGAAAAACCTCAGTCAGGGATTGTAGAAGCAGCAACTATGCATCAAATAAGGTATATTAGCATGTAACAAATAGTGGTCATTTGCTATTTAAGCAGTGCTTTCATGAATTTACTGACCATGCACTTATCAAGATATTGGCTGCACAAATTGTAAAATTTTGTGTTCTGCAAGTGAAAAATATCTCATAAATTTTTGTAATATATGCCAAATACAACAGAATATCAGCACTTCTAAGGGAACTTATGGATTTGTTTCATTTAATGACTCACTAGTTGTTTCCGTTTCGTATCACTTCGTTTTCATCACTTCCTCCCTAACTCACTCAAAACTTCTCACCAGTCACCGTTCTGGAATTCAGTAAGATACCTAGATGTGGGTGTGCAGGAAAGATATATATTAAAAACTGGGTTGCTTAACTACAGAAATTTTCTAACAAATAAAAGAGCGATTAAGGTTGAACAAACATTATTAGTTGTCCTTAATCATTAATGCAGCACTTGTCTTTGTTGCAGTCGTAATTTGCTTTAATTTTGAATTCTCATCAAAAATTTCTACCGTGAATAAACTTTCTAGGACAGACCATATATATATATATATATATACATTTAGGTCAAGCCGAATTTGCAACAGAAAAAAGACGATGAATTGATCGCTTATCTAAATAATTCAAATGAACCAACATCAAGCCGCTGTTCTTCCGTAGCGAGTTGTTTTTCAGCAGCGAACTCTCACCTTGCGAGTGAACTTTAATATATTTCTCTTCATCCAAATATTTTTGTAATTTTTGCTTAGTAGGCGTGATTTCTGGAAACTTTCTGTCACATGTATAAGCATGCTGTTTCCAGTCCTGTTTTTCTGGGTCCGTTTCTACCTTCTTTTCCTTTTTTTTCTTTCTTTTGTTTTGAGTCATTCGATTTTTAACGACCGAGATGCCATTTTCTGTTTTCAAATGTAATACAGTGTAGTAACAAGTGCGAAGCAGCAGCTTATTTAAATTTTAGATGTCAACCAAACAACACCCGAAGCATATACAAGTGAGGAATATTTAAAGACGCAGTATTCGGATACTGTGAAATGTTTGGATATAAAAGAAAGTCAGATAGCTGTATTGTCTGTTCGATTGCAGGTAAAATTTAATACATTGATTGTCTAGCATTAATTCATTCACCTTTTTGGTTACTTGGACCTATTTCAGGAAGCAGAGGAAGTCAAAATCAAAAAGAATGCCCAGATAGCAGAACTCACTAAAGAGTTGAAGTTAATAAAGAAGGAACTGGAAGCAAAAAATGGCAACATCGTTAATGATCAGTCATTCAGTTTGAAAAAACTCCAACGTGAGCATGATAGAGAAAAAGAAGAATTCAAAAAACGAGAGGAAAGTTATGTGAAACGTTTAAAATCAGCCAATAATGAAAATTCGGAGAACGAGAAAGAATTGCAAAAACTGAGAACAAAAATTCTGAAGATGGAAGTTAATGAACAGAATTTGATGGAAGAGGTTTGCAAACTTTGTTATTTCGTTTCTCCTTTTATGATTTCTTTGGTTAAATTTACGATTTTATGCTATGTACGCTCAAGAATTACAGATGAGGCTTGCGAAGTGTAATCTAGAAACGAACAAACATGAATTTGATGAATATAAACAAAGAGCCCAAAAAATTTTGTCTGCGAAGGAAAATCTTTTAGCGTCTTTGAAAGAGGTTTCATCTAAATATTTCTTTTTTTAATGATTGACTTTGTCTGCTTGCCTGCAAGCATATATCATTGCTTAAAAGTTGTATTATGATTGTTTGTCACAATTTATTGCCGTGACTATCATAATTTTGCATTAAATCGTTTCATTACTACAGTTCATTTCATTACGAATAGAAAAAATTTTAGACTTGCAGTCTTATTTTACAGCTTAGATTCGTTTTGATTTTAAAATAATAATTTGTAGAATTCTTCTATTGGATCAGAAAGTGTGATAAACAGTGTCGAACTAGAAGAATTGCGATGTGAACTTGATCTATTAAAGGATGATCTTCAGCAGTCGCAGTTTGTCATCTATAATCTTAAAGGAGACATACAGGTAGCTGCAGTTCTAACTTTTATTTCTGCTTGGATTGAACTTGTAATTTTTGATAAAAATATAATTTAATATGCTCTGTCCAGCAGAAGCGAGACGTTGACTCAATTTCTTGGCGTTTTTTTTTCGTTTTAGATACTCCGGATCATCTATGCAAAGTGTACCTGCTAAATTTTTCAGAAACTTCACTTACTGATTCTAACGTAGTCGAAGACTTCTTTTTACTGTATGGAGAAGCAAATGCGGAATATGTTTCTCACAAATTAATTTTTTGAGGAAATGGAAAATAGATTACGTGATGAACAGCGAGCTTCTGGAGCACAAAGAGAAAACCTTTTAAATCAGATACACCACCATTTATCTCAGGCAAACCAATACAGAGAGCAAATGGAAAGAACTCAGCTAGTTGGTAGTCTCCTTTGTTGAATAGCTTATTTATGGAAATCTCCTATGCGATGGAAAGTTCTTGTAGGTTGACTACGGGTTTTCTGTGTTAATAGCTTCTCTACTGAGTGAACTCTCATTAACTCTCTCATGTCTTTATGCATATATAGTAACTTCAGATCGCATTATTTCTTATTAATTAGTAGCATGAAAAGGATAATACAAATCTATTTGGCTATATCCCAATCAAACTTTCTTTTTTCAATATTTCCTTTTTAGGAATACGATTTTTTACAAGCGGAAATGCGTAGACAGGAAGAAGCAATTGAAAGAAAACTTGCTGAAAAAGATATAGAACTAGCGAAACTAATGGAAGAAAAGAAGACGAGTAAACGATACGAAATTGGTGAAATGGAGCAGAAAATTTCGCTTTTAAGTGAAAAACTGATTTCGAAGCAAACAGCTATCGAAAGGATTGAAAGTGAAAAAAGAGCACTTGAGTTGCGGCTTAAACACACTGAAGTTATTTTTCTTTATTCTTTCTGAATTCAGATTTGGTACCATATTCTACCTTTAACTGAATTAAATCAAGCAGTTCCATGTGTTTTCATCCTGTCATTCAACAAATTGTCATGAATTTATATATTTTTTAGATAGTGTTTCTAACATTTCCCATAGTTCCAACTGAGTTGATTGAAAACTATTCAAACAACAGTAATGCTGTGCAAATGCAGTTCTTTTTTATTCATCTGTGAAACTCAATTTTTGATGTTCAGAGCATTTGGTTATCTTGTTTTGTTGAAATTGCGTTATTTCAGTATGCATGCAGAAGTGCTGAAACAGCTGCAGTTAAAGCAGTTACGATTGAAATGCGAGGGAGTGGCGTCAATGTAAGCGGTCAGAGTTCCTCGTCACTTACAATTTCACACGCGGATAACATGCTTATTCGAACTGCTAAACTTGCAGTTTGTACTTTTGATCATCTCGGGTGAGAATTTTACTGATTTTGATAATTTCCCAAAGCATTTTGAAAAGTATTTGGCTTGTATCATTTGTCACTTAGTAGAAAGATAATGTGTGTGGGTTTTTTTTCAACTTAGAGTTTTATGCACATCAATAATGCTTAACTGCTACTGAATCTATATGGATGATTTAATGTATAAATCAGTTTTGATCTTTCATTCATACGCAGCCCTATATTTCGACTTTTTCTTAGTGTGAAAGTTTTTTTAACCATCCAGCAGTATTTATGAACAGCTTTATGGGTATTTTTCACTCTGCTTACTTGTATACCTGCGATGCATTAGTTTATCTATTTATCTTAATTCACATGTAAATCTTAATACAAATCAATCTTTCAATGCTAATTTTGCCAATTCTAATGAGGTTTACAAATTTCTTTTCAGGTTACGTCTTGCAGTATTTATGCGTAGCCCTATGTTCCGTTTCTTTTTCTTCATGTATTTCCTACTTTTACACACATGGGTATTTTTTATTTTGTTCACTTATACACCAGAAATACATGCCCTCTAACATCACCGACACTTACGGTTTCGTTGTCAAGTTTATCGATAAGCGTCTTTATTCCTTTAACAGAAATCATCCCTGTGTATAGGCAGATCTTTATACACCTAATTCAATGAGGATGGCTTGCAAGAGTCTTACGATTGTTTCACAGTGTACTTACCTATCAACTGTGATACGCAAATAACGTTTGAAAAAAGTCTTCCTTTCCTTGCTTGAACTCTTTTGATCTCATTTTTGCATAGTTTGTTTAGACACTTCTTCTATGTTTATGATATTTCTTTTTTCACCGCTCGGTGTGCAGTGTTTGGAAGACATAATTTCTTGCGATTTTTCTATTTTATCGAAATGGAGAATCTGTTAATAAAATTATTTGAATGCACAGTTTTTGGAGCAGTTGTTTCATCTATCGTTATGTATTTTTAAAGCTAAACCTGGATGACTGCCATGATAAAATAGCATTCGTGACTGAAGATCAGCGCACTAATCGTATTTCGAAAATCAGAATTGAGGGGAAGAACGGTTGAGGTATTGCATTTATTTGTGCTTTTACAGTTGTTGCATTTCTCGGGCTGCGTTATATTGAGGATCAGGCAATATTGGCTATTGTAGATAGAAATCAAAGATTAAATTGGTTACCGCATTGTTTTCATGCTCGATTTGTGGCTGGTGCGTTGGGATTAATGGATTCTGTGGTGCCAATTCCTCAGTCTTTACGTCCAATTGCACACTATGTAAAAATAGGCGCTGAAAATGCAGGTCGTGATCCGATCATCCATTATTGGTGTAAGTTTGAGATCGTTTTGAAGAGCTGCCGAGAACATCATTGAAAGGATCCTTAGATTTGTAACTGGTTATGTTTCACTTCTACGAAGATTTTAGGATTTTATAAATGAAAGGATCCGCCGTTTAGGTCTGTTTTATGCTGTACAAAGTGGGATGGATATAGACAAGAAGTCTCCAGAAGCTCTGCAATACCTTACATCATTGCTTTCAATATTGGAAGATGTAAATTCTTTATGAAGTCTTTGATTCTTAATTTACAATAACTAAATCAAAAGTCTGGTGATTTAATAGTTCAATAACTATAGATGAAGAAGAAATTAGATGGACAAGAAGCACTGACGCAGGATTTGGTAGCTCAAGCCCATATCGAAAATTTTGCAGTGAAACTGTTCGATTATGCGGACAAAAATGATCGGCAGTCGAATTTTACGAAGTAATTTTGCACAGAATTCCACAAATTTCGATGTAAGAATCTTCAAGTTTTTCCTGCTTGATTAAGAATGCTACGATTTAAAGACGCCGAGCTGCAGGAAAATATAATCATAAATTAATACATTAAAAGAACCCTTTTGGGTCACTTCATTTCTTTTCTTTTTTGTTACACTCGGAGAGGTCTATAGACATGATTCATGTATTTCATTCATTTTTCCTTCATAAGACAAATAAATTTGTTGTATACTTCGTAATATTTTACTTATGCCCATAATTTTCAGAGGTGTTATCAAGGCTTTTTATGTGGCCGGACATTTAATCGATGTTTTAACCCTTTTTGGAGAACTGGATGAGAATCTCATTGCAACCAGAAAGTACGCTAAGTGGAAGGTTGCAGTACTGTTTCCATTTTACATTTATTGTTTTCATTTCATCTATTGTTCATTTTGTATATTTGTCTAGGTCTGGTTTTTGAATTTTGTTGCATGTATTATAAGTAATATTGGTTGATTTACACTGCTACTTTAAACAACGCTTTTTTTGTTTAAATCAATATTTTAGGCTGCATACATACACAGTTGTATGAAAAATGGCGAGACCCCGAAACCTGGATCAAGTGGTGGTCAAGTTGGTGATCTGAAAGATTTTGATATGACAATCCCTCAAAGTATACTTCATTTTCATTGTGAAAACTTAATGTCTTATTTCCTACCTGCTGTTTTGAAACTTTGCTAAAGCTGATGATAATTTTCCTTATTTTCCTACCGGCTTTATAAACATTTGGAAATATAACAAAACTTTCCTTATAATTAATATTTGCAGCTGAAACGAGAGAAGAGCCTCAGTCTACTGCGAGTGGACCTGTTCAACCTAGCATTCTACCCAATCCTGTCGCTTGTTCGCATACAGTTTTGGATTCAGCCCCAGTGGTAGAAACATATGAGACGTTACATATCCCCGATACTATGAGAACATCGCAGGAAGTGTCTGAGAATAGTAATAGTGGAAGATTAACCCTAGATGATTATATGGAAGCGCAGAAGTATGCCAAATATGCCGTAAGTGCATTGAGTTATGAAGATTCTAAGACGGCTATAGAAAGTATGTTGAAAGCACTTGCAATCTTGAAAAAATGAAGGCTTGATATTCTCAAAAATTCTATTTTTATACATTGCTGTTTTATTGTTATTCTTTGTTCTGAACAGCCTTCTTATTTAATCAGTTTCTATCACTTTTTCTTGTGTAAAATCGTATGAATAGTAATCCCCAATTTTTATATTTGTCAGCTTCAGTTGAATTGTCTGTTTCATCAGTGTTAACCATATAAAATATCTTTGAAAAATGACCGAAATTTCAAATTTTATTTTTGAAAGTTTCAAGCGCGGCGCGTTGTAAGATATTTATTGGGTTGAAGACTTCATCGACTTGCTGGTCGGAAAATGTGAGGTGTATTGGTTGGGCATCACATTTGTGCTCTGCTCTAACCTTTGTATAATCATTTTCATTGTACTGCATTATTATTCAGCTTACTTTGTAATTTACTGTTTGTTCATATACAAATTTTGACGTGCTGTAATAAAACTATTCAGAATTATTAACAGTTTTGATGCAGAAAATGTTCAGATTTCGGCTTCGACTTTTCCGTTTTCTCCTCATTACCTCATTACCGCTTGTTTGTGGCTGAATCATGATCGAGGATTTAATCCAATTCCTAACCAACGTTGATGAATATTTTGAGTTATTTAAAATTGTTCTACAATGTCCTCTAAAAGGAATTGCTTACGATCATTTAAAGGGACTATAACAAATCGGAACTATGGTTAGAAATGAGGAGGAGGAGCGTTTATCTTTCGGTGAGGAGTAACTTTTGACTTGTTGATTTGATTAGACAGCTTATCAAGCTTTTGAAGAAATTCTTGGTATTAGAAATGTGCCGGTCTGATCTGCAAATTCTTGTTGCAGATAATAGGAGAAATATGGAAGAGAAGAGAAGAACTAAAGCTAGACGTGAAGATTATTGTCCGTTGGAGTATGTCTTTGATATTCTGATCATAAATCCGTTATGTGAAAAAATAGGTTTGATTCCAATCTGTGTGAAATTTTGTTTCCATTTGTTGTTTTAATTGAGTAAGTTAAACATTCGTTTCCAGTAGTACTGTATTCACTAATTTTCTTTTTAGAACAAAAGAGCGGTCTAAGAAAGTGATTGTATTCGGTAAGAAGTCAAAAAATAAAAAGAAAGGACAGCATATTGAGAAAGAAGCGCTCATTATATCTCCATTTACTGGTAGTTTCTTTAGTTTTCCACTACTAGAAATGAAAAGTTTTGAAATTGTTTTTACATTTAAAGAAGTTTATTGATTAATTTTGATGAAATATCGACGATTTTCTTTGGAGGCGCTTTTTTTTATAACGACGTAACAGTTACTAAAGATCATTTACACTAAGTTTTCCCTATCGTTGAAAATGCTTACAAAAGCTTGAACCGGTTCCATTTTTCACATTTAGGAGAACATGCAATTTTCGCAGTACCACTTACTTTGGCTGTTTTACGAATGGGTTCTCACGATGGAATTCCACTACCAGTTGTTGTTAGGCAATGCATCGATTGCATTAATGAGAAAGGTCCAATTGTTTTGTGTCGTTTGACATTTTATTGGATAATTAAATGCTGGAACATTCTGACAATCATTATTTAGGATTTTTCATTATTTCATAACCGTAAAATTGGTGTCTTACTAGTTAGTACAATAAGTTTTGTGAGGTTATAAGTGCATAGACCTATTGAGGATTATGTGTCGAAGGGATTCATCGGATTTCCGCGCCAAAAGCAAATTTGGATAAACTTGAAGAAGCAGTAAATTCGAGACACTCCATTCAGCTGGAAGATATTCACGATGCCTCGGGATTACTGAAAAGATTTTTGCACCAGCTTCCGGAACATATCCTAACTAATGAAAAACGACCAATATTTGAAAAGATTGCTTCAAGTTTGTTGCGCTTTCAGCTTGTTGTTGTCTTTCTCTTATTTTCTAGCGATTTTCCTTTTATTGCTATCGGGTCTAAATCACACAAAAGTATGCAGCTAGCTTTGTTTTCAGTTTTTCAATTATAAAATCGATACAATGAAGATGAACTTCAGAATTTTCTTGTTTCATTTCAGATTGTCCATGTGGAACGTTGTCACCATGTCGTTGTTTGGTAGCAGATATGTTGAAAGCGCAACTGATTTCGCTACCAGAAGAAAATTATATGTTATTAGCATACATATTCATACATTCTCAAATGATATTGCAGAATAGTGATAAAAATAAAATGGGTATGGTTGCACTTGGGTTGATTCTACAGGCCACGCTCAATGTATCACAAGCTCTTGTTCGAATATTCTTGCTCAACGCTTCCAATGTCATCCTAATGAAATATCATTCTTCTTCTGTAAGTTATCATTTAGAAGAAATTATGTTTTATTAAAATTCCCCCGTTTGTATCAAAATTCAGAATAGGCTTTGATTTTTATTTTTCTGTAGGTTGACATGGAGCGGTTAATTAAGTAATATGATAAACTGTAAACAAATATACCACCACATATCAAAATAGCACAGGAAATCGGACCTTCAGTCCATTACCATTTATCGCTTCTTTGGATATGTGTTTTTGCAACAGAACAAAAGTCTTTTTTTCCTTCCTTTTTTTTCTTAAAAATGAAAATGAAGCTTTTCTCGAATTAGATTTTGATATTATCTTTTATATCACATTTCAGATGGTGTATCTATTCGAAGATATTCAAATCAAACGGTAAGTTCTTTTCATTTTAAGCACGGTCTTTGATCAATTCATGCAACTTCGATTGGTTTTTCAGTTTTGCATCACCTGTTACTCTGAAATAGAGATGTTTAGCAGTTATCGAATTGATTTGTGATGTAAAAATTTAGTCTTCAATTCGTTCCTGGTTAAGGCATCTTGACAAGTAATTTAATTCAAAAAACCTCATATTTTGAAGTTTCAGTTCCTAAAAAAATTTTCAATTTTCAATGTTTTAATTTTTAATTTGGATAAAATTACAAATACTTACACTTTATCACGCATTTCAAAATTGATTGGCTGCTGTGCCTCACTCTTCTGTTTCTATAAAACTTTCCATGCGCTTAGAATTATAACTTTCTGTTAAGATTACGTTGAATTCACATAATGATGGTTGAGCTACTCTTGGCAAGTAATTTAATTTTAAAAATAACATGTTTTGCTGGTTGGTTTCAATTTTTCAAATTCAAAATGCGGATATTTGATAATTTATGCTGAAAAAAAAAACGGGAAGTTGACTTACCTTCAAATGTCTGATGACAGCAACGATGATAACAGTGGAGATGATTGTAAGCATAACAACAGCAATAATTATTGGTACAGGATTAGTTTTGGTTTGCTCACTGACTAATTCAGTTTTCATATTCACGTGGTATAAGGAATGTACAGACACGGATGTATTTTGGTGATGCTCGGATTTTGCATTTTCATCACCAATTAAACCATCTTTCTGGAATGAATTATTAAGGTTTTAAATATGAGGGATTTATTTTAGAGCTAATTTCAAGTTAGTGTATGGGTGTCATAGAAAACCTGTAGATTTTTGAAAAATTCATGAGAAGTATATTGGTGAAGTATTCAAGTTAAAGTTATGATGGATTCCTTTCTTTTTTTGAAAATATATCTGTCTGATACCTTTTCATGATTCTTTCAAATAACATTATGCAAATTTATCTATTTTTCATTTGTTTCATATTAAATATGATTTAATAACTGTGACACGTTTCTGTTAGACTTCTTATGACACTTCTGTATATAGTCAGTGCTCTTATTAATTAATTTGTAATTTGTGGGATTTTACAACAGTAATATTGTAGAAAAATTAACGTATGTTTCAACTTACGGCTAGAAATTTGTTGAGAAGGCTTGTACTAATGTTCTCTAGTTTTATGTTGTTATCCATTGTTGAAAATGTTGATGCCGTTGAATAGATGACATCATCGCTTGAGTTATACATCGTGAATGAATCTTTAATTACATTCATTATAGCTTGTCCTCGTAAAATATGGGGACGGTTACAACTTGTTTCGTTAGCGTGCAGTAACATGAATTCTCGGTCTAGCAGAACTGCTTCTTTGTACTTCAGTTCGATTTCTTCCACCACTGAAATTAGCTATGGGTTCATTTTTATTTGTTGAACAGTACTTCTTTAGCAAGGGAGGGATTAATCCAGGTTTTCTGGTTTTATTTCTCTGCATTTTAGTAGTTCTAGCAAAATATATTCGGTTAAATTGAACTTATTTTACTTCGGTTCATTTTAATTCCTTTTCAGGAAATTTGTTGATTTCCTCAGTTTTGTGAGATTGATTTTTAAAAGAGCATACCTGCTTCCATGTTTTCATCACACAGCCATTGGTTATTTGATAGGTCCAGTACGCGTAAGTTTTTCATGTTTTCCAGTACACTGCGTGATAGAGTTGTCAGCTGGTTGTCGCGTAAGGTTAGTTCTTCCAGCTTTTCATTTTGACCTTCTAAATCGCTTTCATCGATATGTTGCAGTTTTCCTTTGCTTAAGTCCAACTCCTTTAATTTCCTGGTATTCGAAAAAACTCAAAAGTTGAGAAATTCATCCGTCCGGATTGACTTAGATTTCATTACGAACTTCGATTCGAAATTTTTATCCAATGACTATCTCAACATTTTGAGCCTATTAACTTTTCTAATTCCTAAGGTCAACCAAAACAAAGTATGAAAATTTTGGAAGGTTTTTAATTTTGTTTAGGATCGAGGTAATTTTAACTCAACTTTAGCAGTTTTATATCGGATCGTTTACCTTTAGTGAAGAGAGATGTCTGAGGGTGTTATTAAATTCTGTAATACTTATTTCGCTCATATTTAAGCGACGGAGATTACTGAGTCCATTGAAAGCATCTTCATCGATCTTCAAAATTCTATTTATTTGCGGAAATGGAGTAGTGAGGGCAAATCATATGTTTTTTTTTAATAATGCTTTCAAATTAATATCATTTTGTTAGTGAAATTTTCTCATGCGAAATTTAGGCTCTATTTTCCTTAAAAAATTTGATGAACCAAAACTTGCATGCACTAGTTGTTTATTATGCCGAAGATTTAAGAAGCTAAGTGTTGGACCAAGTTTGAAGAAGGCATTGTTTTCCAAAAATGAAAACTCATTCCATCCAAGATCGAGTTCTGTCAAATGCTCCAGCCCATCCCACCAGCATGCTAAACTTTTGTTTAGATAATTTCCGGCAAGTGATAGGCGTTGTAGACTTGGTGTCCAAGCGAAACTTCCACATTCCACTTCATACAATAAATTGATTCGTAAATCAAGCTGTAAGTTTCCAGCACCATTTTATATATTAATCGTTAGGAACTAAATTCATTTATTCCACTTTTACCCTTTCAATTTCGAATATTCTTCACTTATTCTCATAGGTTATATTTTTCTTTCATCAAATGAAAACTGCATTTACCTCTGTAAGTTTCGTAAGACCTTGGAAAGTGTTCTTATGGATGACCGTCAAACTACATCCGGGTAGTAGTAACTTCTCTAATTTATTCAGTCTTCCGAATGTTCCTTGCGTTATATTAGTGATACCATCTGCTCGACCCATATCTAGAACCTGGTGTATCGATTTCGGCTTGTAAGTACACCTACTTCTGGATGTATTTCCGTACATTTTGAAGTCAGTTGTTTCGATCCTCGAGTCGCATTTTAAGATTAATAAAAATGCATAATAAATTATAAACTCTTAATAATTTTTTGTTATTTTAAACACTTAAATTTTCATGCTTAAAACATTTATTGAAATTTCCAAACTATTTAATTTCTACTTGGAGTTCTTTGAGTTGTGAAATTTCGTCGAAGATGTTACTGAATGAATTGTAATTTCCAATACTAAGCTTTTTTAAGGAATTGCGAAGTACGGATAATGTCCCATTTTCCAACGATGATATGAAATTTCCCTCGAGATTCAGAGTTTCCAGCTAAAAATGACATTTGAAATGATGGAAATAAGAGTCAAATTTATTTCCAATAAAGCCTTGGAATAACTACATGGAACTCTTCGAATTAGGGTCATGGCAAGAAAAGAAACAATCTGAATTAAAGGAATGAAAATTTGAGAATGTCATTAACTGTTTTGCTCATGCAGAATACTAATTTAAATCCTTGAAACAAATCCCGGTATAATTTCTCGGTTAATTTTGGTTCTTAAAATGAAAAGAGGATTTTTTTCAAGAATTTTTCTCAAGAATAATTATTCTCGAAAGTAGCCTTTAGGCCTAAAAATTTGCCGCTAAGGCTCACGTGTTTTAGTGTCTGGAAATCCGTCTTTACCAGCCTAGTCAACTTGTTGTAAGCCAATGATAAAGTCCTCAGTTTCGTTAAATTTTGAATTGCTGTTCGTGGGTATTGCTCTAGATTGCAGTCGGTAATGTAAAGTTCTTGCAAGTGCTCGGCTAGACCGTGAAATGAATCATCGTGAATGCTCAGGGAAGCGCTCTCAGCACATTTGTCTGAAATTCGAACCTTCCGCATAGTAAAGTAAGTAAAAATTCGGTTCAAATTTGTGTGTTTAAAGGTAGCTGAAGACCAAATGTTGTAACGTTCAGTTAGGAGTGGGTAGAGAAAGTAATTAATTCATTAATGGTAAGCTAACCAATGTATATGATTTGCAGAAGCGCATAGGGACTGTCGAAAATTTTTCCAGGTAGCATGCCATCAAATTTAACGCGACTTAATGTTACCTTCAAAATTTCTGATTTGGATGAGTGATACCAAGAAGTAAAGGAAGTTAGTTGTGATTAATTACAACTTAATTAGACTGGGACACAACTTAAATCTCACTAAATTACGTTCCGATTACCAAACATATAAATTGGTAGTTGATAGTTGAAAATAACTTTTCAGTTCTTTGATTTCTCCAAAAAAAATGTCGGAAAATGATACTTTCACTACTTTGAATGATTAAGAATATCGATTGGTTATGGAGCACTATCGCAAAAAACGGAGTTTTCCGGTTCCTGATGAAATAACATACCAAGTATTGTTACAATCCTTCAGAAAATTTTAAACTTAGGGCGCAAGTATTGTCTGCTTTTCCTGTTTGTCTTTCCTGATTTCGGGGAAAAACTAACCTGTTGAACGGTTTTTTTTGTAGCAGTAACAGCAAGGAGTGCTCTTTTAAATTGTTCCACAGTAGAACTATACAAACAGCTGATATCTACATGACCATTATCCCGAAGATTACAGAAGCAAAAGCTTCCGTTATAAGAATCAGTATTAGCGATTGCGCTAAGGGCAGGACAACCGGGGATTGAATCAGATTGTTGCGCTTTCACGATGAATAATGGCAGCAAAGTAAACAGCAAATAGAAATAAATTAAGATGTCCTGAATTTGCACTTGTTTCTTGTGAATTGTAATAAATACCGAAGGATAAGTTCTCACTTGGCATGGTTGAATTTTCGCAGTGTTTAAAAGCAATTTTAAAGATTGAATACCAGAAAGCAGAAAAATTGATGATTGAAGCAGAGGTTTTTTAGATCTTTCGTGGTGATTAGGTACTTCATCCAGAAATGCTTCATAGAGTTTCCTTTTTGTTGATTTTGAAGTTGATTTGAGATTGTTGACTTCATTTCTGGTTACTAATGTCAGTGGAATTGTCATCGTTGAAGAGTTTGGTAGCGGTGGTAATGAAATTGATGATGATGGTATCAGTCACTAAACGACCCAAATACGATCCTTCTAAAGAAAATATAGTGGATTTCCTCACACAAGAAAGGCCACTACTACCATTACTACCGCTACTACTACTATTCTGGTTTTCTTTTGTCATATCCTCTTCGTTGTGCCGTTGTCTTCTCCATCTTTATTTCGATATTTTCGCTATTTTCTTCTAATTTTTCTGCCATTCTTAAGATTCGAGTTTCTCTTTTCTGTCCGCATTCCTGTGAACAATTTTTTTGTGGAATTTCATTCTACATGTAAAACGTTGAGGATTAATTTGTTTTGTATGTAAAAGGTAACATTTTGATTCATGTTAATTGTGGTCCTGAAATATCCATCATTTATACATGATGGATACTGTATTTACACATGATATTGTAAAGGTATTGTATTTATTCATTTGTTACTTCTCCAAACATGATACAACCTATACGAGTTTCATTTTTTTCAGGCCTTAAATATTGCTTTCAACAAAAAAAAAAAATGTCATTGCTTTCGAAAGTGTACCATAGGGCAGTGGAATTTGAATGAAACTTATCGTTTTATGATTTGTTTGCTTTTAAAATTGTCTATGCCCTGTTTTTTTGAAAGTTTTTTAAAGTTAATCAATATTTAAAGATTTTCTGGTCGTATAGTATCTCGGCAATTTTATTCTTGAAAATAACGTTGATGAGCTCTTCCTCTTCATTTAAATGTGCGTGACGTCTAAAATATGGTTTTCATTTGACAGAGATTAGTTGAACAACAAAGCGAGTGATGCTTAGAAATAAATTAAGCATTAAGTGTACATTAATAGCTGTATGTAAAACACATATACTTCAAGGTATGTGGCACCAAAATCACCAAGGATTATTTGCGAAGGAAATTTATCGGACTCCGAGGAAGAGCTCCGTGACGAGGAACGGAAGCAGCGAAGTCGTTTGCAACAGCTTCATTTGCAAGTAACCTTTTGTGGTTAAATTTGTTGCAAGTAATATTCTTGTTTTAAGATGCATTCCGCAGAAAACCGGAGACAACCGTGATAGTATTTTTCATGAGGATTTCATATATCAAATGTTGTATTTCACCCTGAGAAATATGCATAATTGAAATTTCTGTATATTTCATGTACTTTTTTGTTTCAACCTGTATATCGCAGAAAATCCTTATTTTTTTGGAAACTTCGAAATGATCGATAATTTTGATCAGTATTCGACAGTTTTGAATTCATATCTGTTTTTGACTAAAAAATCCACTATTTTTTTAAACATATTATCTGTTTTTCTGCAGTATTTTTTTAACTTGCAGGTAGAAGAGCTTCGAGAATTAAATTTACCAACGAAACAAGCAGAAGAGGAGTTATGGGATGTACAGACTGCAATCACGATGCTCTGCAGAAAAGTAAATATTTTGTATTATTCCTCATGTGTCAGCAAATTGAAATTGTTTGTATGATTATTTGTTACCTGTACTTCCTTGAATTCACTGGCTTTCAAGAGGCCATTGTAAGCAGACTAGGCTCTGAACAATGTTTAGGAATTAAACGAATCCAGCCTCAAGGCTTGATCAATTTAATTTTCAAGCATTAAGCACGTCTAATGCCCATTTCCAACATTGGTGCCTGCCATTCATTCAAATGGAAGGGGCATTTTTTCTGAACCTTTCTGAAATCTTAGAAAATGAAGCCCTGGAATTTACTTTACTAGCATCGTCGACTGATTTTTTTTCTTCCTGAAGCTTTTTAAAGAAATTAGTGAAAAATTTGTCTATATTTTGAGCGAATTATTAATTTTGAACTTGTAAGGAACTCTTTTTTTCAAACAAATCATTTCTACCATCAGTGAAATACGTAGGGAAGAAATTATTAAAACCATTCTCATTTTCAGGAACGATTTCAAAAAGTCCTTTAAAGATTTTACGATTTTTTTGTTTAGACTAATTCATTGTGGAATTAAATTAACATTATTAAATTCATTTTTGGATACATTATACAGCGGGATTTGGCATATAAGAAGAGAAGGTTAACAAACTTTCCTCCAAACTTTCAAATTTCCTAAATTTTTGGAGCTTGAATTACACTGTGTCTTATTGTTCGAATCACTTCCTTTCCGAAGGTTCCCCTCATGTATTCAGTATTTTAAAAAAATGTATGCCATGTTGTATAACCTTTTAGGACTCAAACTCAGATCTCTCAAAACTTTTTAAAGTTATTTACTTGTTAGGAAAGTTGTCGTTTTGAGATAGACACTTCTGCAAATAAAATAAAAAACTAAGACTGGCATACACTTGGATGTACTTGAATATAGGAAAGAATTTTCTTAGTTATATTTTGAAATAAGCGAAATAACATAGTCATTCACAATTACTTTATTTGCATTAAGTTTCCCCGTAATATTCATTATTCATTTACTTAACTGTAGTCTCTCTTGAGAACTTGAATATACTGTTTTCCCAGAACGCTCTTTTTTTGCAACGGTTAGTCCAACAATGTTCACTGCCCTTATCTCAAAGTTGGAACAACCGATGGATGCAAACTGTTCTGCACTTCTGAATTCAAGCTGCTGACGACATAATGAGGGATAAGTTCATACAGTAGTTGCAGAAGATACTATCTACACATTGTTTGTCTTTCGCTTATGCAGTGATTTTTATTCATGTGATCGATTACTTTGCACCCAAATTTGTTTAATTTTGCCTCTTACAAATACATTTCCTTTTCACCTGTACTATTTCAGCTCAAAAGTATACGTATGAGAAATTCGGGAAAAATCGAAACACGAAAAAATGGTGGTCCGACGCCAACACTGGAAATGTTCGTGGAGAAGCAGTTACTAGCCGCTTCTACTGCTCTGCGTGAAGACATTGCTCGTCATAAATTACAAATAATTGCTTTGGACAAATGTTTAAATACTATGAATGAAGTAAGTCTATTTTTTCCTTTTTGGTGACCTATTTCTACTTCGATGTTTGCTAATATACCTAAAAAATGCGGGTAGTTGAAAATCATCGATGGGAAAATATCTATAGTTCATTTTAGTGGGTGTTTGTAGTTACTTATGTGAGTTAGAAATTCATTTTAATAACGTTGAGATGGTAACTGTTTGAATTCCCACGTAGGTAAGGATAGGTAGCGTTATTGATGTGTGCAATCCTTTTTTTGCTCTTGGTTAATCACTGGGGTAGCTGTACTTCCGAAGATCTGTGACGGAATTTGCAAGCTCAGGAATTAGCTTAAAGGAACTTTGCATTGTTGCTTTTCAACTTCATACATGTAAGGATTTGCAAAAAAAAATCACTTCGGCATCTCTCAAAATGAAATATCCACTTTTTTTTTTTGATCTATTTTGATTTTCCGGATAAGTAACCAAACAGATAGCATATCTGCTGAATGCTTTCAAGTACAGCTGGAGCTATTGCAAGTATAACATTGATGCTTGCTCTTAAAAATTTATTTTAAGAACAAAAGCACCGAAACTTTAAAAAATAGCGACGACAAATACGGGGAAGAATACTGGCACGATAAATGCCTAAAAGAAGAGAAGGAAAGAGATAATTTATTGTCCCAAATAGTTTCACTTCGAAATGATTGCTGCCAACTACGGGCACAGATTGAATTAAATGCTGTCAAAAGGCTCACATTATTAGTTACAAGATTTTAGTTGTTAATTGAATTGTATTTTCTGAACTTGTACGGACGAAATGTTTTATTACCTTTCATATCATTGTTTTATTGTCGTTCACATGAATACAGATTTCAGCTTACTGTTACTGACAATTTAACAGTGGAAAGACTTCCTAAAAACAACCCGGAAGATCATTTAAAATAAGTAATATGTGAAAAGCAGTCATTTTGAAACATGCTATATAATTTACATTAACCGGAAATTGAGTAAAGCAAAAATTAGGGAAGAGTCTGATGTTATTTTGACCCTCAGCTCAATTAATCCTTATAGAATTACGATGTGCAGTGAGATAATAAATCATGATAAATTCAAAGATCAAGTGCTTTCAGTGCTTTTTCGACTTCAAAACAACGAAATAAATAATATTTCATGACTTTGCAATGGTAAAACAGTATAGGCAGATCTTGGCGCCATTAAAATATTTCTATATTGTTTTTTGGCGAAACAATATGAATTCAGTCTAACCTAACGGAATAAGTAAAGATGGGAAGTGGACCTAATTTCTTGGAAGGCACTAGGAATATATTTGAAAAATAAGAGAGATAATTCCTAATAGGTATCAAATTCGTAGTTACGGTAGATGATAATTGTAAAAGTGAGAAAGACGAATGAAGGCCAGGCACCTTGTATAAAAACATGACTCAGTTGAAGAGGACGGGGAAAGACTAGCATGCAGTACCCATTCTTGAGAGGTCTTTGAAGGAACCCGTCATTTTACTTGTAAATGATGCGTTTTCCACTCTTATATATCAGTTAGTAAAATTTCGAGTTCGAATTCTATCATCGAAATAACTTGACACTAAGGTGAAAAAACTTTGAGCTAACAGCGCAAACAACATACAAGGAACAATATATTCAAATATAAGCAAAGAATTTTACAATTCATGCGGCAGTGTTGCATTATATTATTTTGAAAAATAACGCAAACATTTTCTGCGATAAATTTACTATTTTGTTCATCATTTGCTATCTTGCTTAATGCTAAAGTCCTTTGAAAACTAGGATACCGGGACTGGTCAACTTTGCTAAAATTCTTGCGTCTTCGTTTAGAGAATTTTCTAGAAACAAGTTCTGACATCACTGTTCTTCCGACTATCTATTTCTTTCAGTTTGTGCTAAAGCTATTCGTATTAAATGATCGCGCACTCCATCACCATTAGGGAAGTTGCGGACCTGAAAGTATTAAGAGATGTTTCTCGACTATCTGAAATATTCTATTTTCCTTAGTAAATCCATGACAGAAAAATTATGAAGTAGGTTAATCTACAAAATGCTTTAGTACCATCTTGACGGCGTGTTCAGCATGTTCCCGAGCTGCGGTTCTTGTTTTTTGCAGACCAGTGCTGTTACCAACAATTTCCCAAGCCAGTTCTACATCACCCTCTTTAGAAAAACTCCGTGTTATTAGCTTATTTAGTTCAGGATATTCTTCGGCAGCGAAGAGAACGGGAGCTGTTGCAAGTCCTAGAACGACAAATCTGACTGAGAAACTAGTTCTTTATTAGATTGCAGATGAATTACCTAACTTGAGGTCATTTGCAGTCGGCTTTCCCGCAACGGAAGATGTGGAGACATAATCCAGCAAGTCATCGATCATTTGAAAGGCGATGCCCAAAGATTTCCCGTACTCATATGCGGAAAGTTCGTCTGCCTCTGACACATCTAAAAGTTTATAAATTTTTCGACAGTCCAACTGAATAAAATTTGTAGCACAAAATAGAACTTGTATACTAGTCAATGTCATACCTACCACACACAAAACTACACAGATAAATAAACTTAACACAAACAACCATGACAAGTTGGGTTTAAAGTTCTATGAAATTTTCAAAGTTATCTGACTTATTATTACTGACCTGAAAGCATTGCAGCTGATTTGCAACTATTCGCGAAAAGGGATGCTGTTTTTGAGTATGTTTTAGCCATATATTTGTTGAACCTCTGCGTAGCATTTAAATCTGTCCCATCATTCATTTGCATAAATTCGCCCTTCACTAAATCTTCGATGATAGTTGCCATCACCGAAATGACGGACGGCCTTCCAATGCTACACAACACTTGTGTTGCACGAGCAAGAATGAAATCTCCCACCAATACAGCCTGAAGTATATTTTTCTAACGATAAGAACTATAATGAAAACTATCATTATAGCTTTTCCTTGAAATCTGTTGTTAGAAATTCTAAACGTTTCAGCGGAAATCTATGTAGAACAATGAACCAGAATGGGATTTCGTCAAAGTTTCGCTAAAGTTTTAAATTTTTGGCTATTTTAGGGATAACGAAAATATAATAAAAACATTACATCTTCTAGCCTAAACCGGCACACCAGGTTATAGGCCATTAAAATGTAATATATAATTCTCGTTGTGGTCAAAATTCCGACAAAAGATAACTATAGGACAGACCGGTTACCATTTTGTTGCCCCAAAGTGCATTTACGGTTCGACTTCCACGCCTTATATCAGCCTTATCGATAACGTCATCATGAACCAATGATGCAGTGTGTATCATTTCTGATATCACCGCTATTTTGTACTGGTTTCTTGTTACTGTTTCACGACCCGAATCTACTAACATCCTGAAAAGAAATGTGACGAATTCAAAAGATACTCAAGATTTAAAATCGATGTATCAGATGGCCCAAACTTCTCGGTGAACGAAAAAAAAGAACATGAAATGATTCTATAGAGTGGTCTTACAAACTGCATGGTTCTTTGCAATTGCGGAATTAACAACTTCTATGATGTGTGCGATCAGAAGTCGGGAGATGAAAACCATAAATATGGAAACAAAATATTAACAGTGCTTCTAGACATGTCAAGAAAGGAAGAACTAACGATTTAGGCTCAAACTGATTGCATGCTCTAGCCATCAACAAACAAATGGTAGGCCGAAACAATTTTCCGCCTTGATCAAAATAATATTTAGCCATTTCTTGGAAAGTTTTCGTGAATGCTGAACTTGAAAAACACGTCGATAACAATGACGAGCTGTTTTCTGCATTTCGCACGAGAATTTCCATGATTTCAGACTGTAAAACGAAGCATAATTCAAGCCTGATACAAATTATTACATCTGATGAGCACAAGATGCTCTGATATAAGGAAATTACCTGAAGTGCTTGTAGCTTATCCCTGACAAAGCCTGGCAACCGTGTACTGGAGACTTCTTCGGCGACCAGATATGGGCGATGAAATTTACGAGTTGATCCTCGCATGGTTTGAGGTGATGTTGATATAAAGGGCTGACGCAAAACTACGAACTGCACAATAAATTATTATGATTACTCTGTGAAATAGTGCTGTGTCGTCAGCAAAGTTCCTCAATGATTCTATATCTTTTAATCATTTCAAACAATTTAGATGTAATTCTGTTGCTTCTGCAAATTTTTCTCGTTCTTTTGAGTGTGCAAATTTACAAAATGGGAAAATCAATCTTTTTATTAAAACTTCACGAAATCTGAAGTTTTATGGAAATTTTAAACCAAGACAGGTGGATAATATCATTTCCTGAGTTTTCCCGAAAGTCCGGTAATCTGTCAAGAAAAAGCACGAATGACACAATGTTTTAGCTCAGTAGAATTTTATATAAAATTTGCAAAGGCAAATAATGGACAAGATAAATAGACTGTATTTGTCCCTTTAATTCGATTTGAAAACATCACGTAACTTAACTCGCAATATTTGACATTTAATTCGTTAAGAATTTGACGTTAAATAATTAGAAAAAGCACTACATTTTGCGGCAGCAGAGAAGAAGACAGCTGTCGTTTCCAAAAGGAATGTGTATAACATAAACTCCTAGCACGCCATTTCATATAACCCATCGATCGAAGTGAAAGCTGAAAACTTGCAATGATTAAAATTATCAGCAAGAAAGGCTTAGATAGAGGTTATAAAGCGAATGGTTCATCCTGATTTATCTGCAAGTACCTTGCAGGACTTATATTCTAATTCGCAACTGTGAAAATGTTTCCCACCTCACTACCTTCCTGTTGATAACCGAACTCCAAAAAATTCAGTTTTAACAAAGTGGGCCGCACTTCTTGGGAGACTACTTGTGCCTCATTGAGATTCTGAATTATCGGAGTACTAGTGAGAGGTTCATGCAGTCGTTTTGAGATATCCGGAGAGGTCATTGCTAAATTTCTCTCGACCATTTATTTCCAGGCTGTTTCCTAATTACAAATAGGCCATTATCGGTTATTTGCGTAGTACGTTGGAGTGGTTCTTTGAAGTATTTGTCACATTCCGTCTGCGAGTTTTATCCTTGTGTGGATATTGCTTTCAGGATATATATTAGCAGACTAGTGCATAATGCCACCTCACGATGAACAGTACCTCGTGGAAGAAAAAAGTTGGAGTGAATTACTTTCGCACGCTCGGCTATGGCGGAACATTTCGAAGTTAGATTTATCATTTGTTTGTCGTTATCAATTAAGAGTTCGTTAACAGTAGGAAAAGGGTAGCTGTGTAGTGCGATTTTTCATACAATTTTCTAGGTTTTCAATTTCAAAGTAGAAATAGCTTATTTTAAATGTTTGTCCTTTGAAATTGTTGAATTTTGATTCGTGGTTCTAAAGAAATATTAAAGAAAGATTCTGGAGAAGTTATTGTTTTACAATTTAAACCAAAATTTACAAACCAATAAGGAATGAAGCATAGGTCTTTGGGATTTTTTGCAGGAAACGAATGAATATGACGCTGCATCATTTTTTACTGTATCTTGATCGTTCGGGTACGGAACGAGTGCTTGCGCTGGGTGGCTCAGGACAGTTTCCTCAAGAAACCATCTACACTGCTCCATTAACCCGTTCACCGTTGGTTAGCTCAGTGGCCAAATTAACTTTATCTCCATATTTAGACACTAAACCTAGTAAGGTTCGCGTTCATTTCCAAATTATTTCATCTGTTAGAAATGATAGGAATGCTTTGCAGATGTAGGTCCCTGCCCTATACTTTCACTTTTTTCAAATCGGGTAACATACAGACCTCTTAGCGATCAGCATCTTTATACTTTATATGCTTTATAGCTGTATGTACAAAAATTTCTTCACGTAACGGTGACTGTAGGTTTTTTTTCTTTTTTACTTTCATTTTAGTGTTTTTAGATGACGCATTTTGGATTCAGATAGGCCACCTTTATTAAAGTTAACAGACTCTTTGTGTTTAGTTCAAATTAAATTCACGTTAGTATCTTTTTTCCATCCCTCATATTAATAGCTTAAAGAATGGTAGGAAATTTGATATCAAGGTAAGGTTAGGGAGAAAAGTGTATGCTTTTTAAGGTACAAGGATTTGAGGGCTGGCTCGTATGCAAAGAAACTTCAGTGTACCTGCCATTTGTGCGTTTGCAACAATTGGTTTTTAAGCATATGGATAAGTTCATTATCAGAAAGTTGTAGCATTTTATAGTTTCTGCTTGTCGGCAATTTACTTTGAATATTGACGGTTCTAGCGATTTACAATTTTTCAGAATGATAGGCTTTTGTGCTCATTGTTTTTTACAATATTTGCCATTCAAACAATTTTTGTGCATGAGAACACAAACTTCAACAGAATAGGATGTTTTAGGGAACTTATATTTTCTGGTCTGCCTTGCCACAGCTTTTATGTTTCACATTCGTAATAGTCTTCCGTAGAATTTCAATTGGAAAACAGTGTGTTTTTTGAGATGTAGAAGTGATATATTAATATGCAGTGCTTGAGTGTTGTGTCTTTCTCTTTTGGTAGAGGTGTGATACAGTTTTGGCAAAATAACACCATTTCAAAATATTATAAGGGAAATGTAATGGTTTTGAACTTTCGCAATTTCTTATAAAATATGGTAACGAGAAATTATTGAGACTATATTAGATATTGCTTTGGTATCTAAAGACTTGAAAATCCTCGAAAGTTGGCTTCTGGGAATAATATAATGTATCAACTAGCATTTCTGATTTAGTTGTTTAGCGTAATCATTTTATTAGTGAGTTTAGGGTGGACCACCACCTGCTGAATTGGCGGCATTATGTGAGAGACAAAGGACAACTGTTTCATCTGGCATATCGTCATATGAATTTGATCCTACTTCATCCACACTGTTATATTCCGATTCTACCAATTTGTATCGTATTCAGGTATCATACTTATGGTTATCCAGATATTTGGGATGCTGTATTTACACCTAGAGTCTTTCCTTTCTTGTTCTTTTATGCAGATTCCTAACAGCATTCGACCAATGCATCAAATGGGTTTGAATGAAACCTCAATTTCCACTATTATTGCCCTTCGAAACCACATGTAAAATACAGAGTAGTCATATTAAATTTCATTAATTTTGAAGTAGGTGCTTCTTAACTCTTACCTGACTACCATTCACTTTCCTTAGTTATTTCATCTACTTCATGCCGTTCAGGTTTCAGAAGGAGGAAAAGAGCATAATAGGGAATGGTATAAAGGGCTGTCCTTTGCATGCGCAACTATGTCCGGTGGATAGCACTCTAGTAGCATTTGTCGCAAATCGCAATGTGCATATCGACTGGTAAGAATAAAAGCTTCTTTTCATCCGTTCTACTCAAAACTTTGTAGATTTATGAAAGGTTTAGAATGCAGCGCCTTTTAATTTTGTAACTTTGATACATGTTGGTGTACTCAAATTTTTAAGGAAAGGCAAAGTGATTTACTCATCGTCAACTGGTGATAATATCATAAATGGATGTTCTTCGTTTATTGCTCAGGAGGAGTTGGATCGATTTACGGGAATGTGGTGGTCTCCTGGCCCACAAAAAATGCTTCTATATGAACAAGTGGACGAAACAGCCGTTACTGGTTTGCAGTTTACTGTACCAGGATGCTCGCCTACACAACCAATGAAATATCCCATTGCTGGGACTGCTAACGCTATTTCTACCTTGCGTTTAATTGTCATCAGCGAAAACAAAGTAATTTATTGATTTATTCACTTGCGTTTTTTAGTGAGACTAGTTACTTTTTCTTACTTTACGATTTAATAACCTTCTTTACGAAACTAATGCAACTTTCTAACAACTATTTAACATATCGTTTAAAGCATTTTATATTCTATTGCACGGTGGCCCTATCTTCTTTTTTAGATTACTGATGAAAAACTGACTGTAGAACTTAGAACTGTTTACCCTTGGTATGAGTACTTGTCACGAGTTGGTTGGTTACCTGATGGAAGCGCGTATGTTTTTGGTTCTCATCGCATCTCATTCATAATTTCTTCTGTGTCTGAACACAGAACACAGACTATAGATATTTGAATCATTTCGAAATTCGAATTCGATGTTCTTTTTCTTGCAATAGATGTTATTTCAACAGATTGTGTGTTATCTTTTCAGTAGTCATTTTGACTTTGTTATTGTTCATTTTAAGGATTTGGGCTTTGCTGCTCAATCGACTGCAAGATCGATATGCATTGGTTTTGATACCACTGGATTTATTTGGATCACGGGACAGTCAAAATAGTGCGCAAGTAGTAACTCTGCTACAAGAACAATCAGAAATTTGGTTCAATGTAAGTGAAATTTTCGAAACTGTTGTTATACTTAGACTTATTGCAAATTTGGTATAATACCTCTGAACACAATATTGTTATCTTTGTCACTCATTTGAAGGAAAGTGATTGCTTATATTTTTTCCGATTATTTCACTGTTCAATTGATTTCAATGACATTACTTCAGGTGGATAATTTGACTCGGTTTTTAACTCCAGTTGGAGGAATTTTGCAGTTTATTCATGCAAGTGATCGTGATGACCATACTCATTTATTTCACTACACTGCTAGACTTGATGAAGGTAAGATTCTTTTTATAACTTAAGAGGTACTTCATTAACAAAGATTCATCGACTATATGGTTTGTTTTTTCTATTGTTTTCATGCATTTTCCAGCTCATTTAACAGCCACATGCTCATCACGACCAATAACTGCTGGAGATTGGTCGGTTTTAAAAGAACCAGGTTTATTTGTTGATGAAAAGAGAAAGCATGTTTATTTTGTCGCCAACAAACATCATCCGTCTGATGCTAATTTGTATGTTTCGAATGGAACTTGCATAAGTGATAAGTAATTAGTATTTATATATCGTCACAGCAACGTGTAAATTGAAAACCTTGCATCTCGTTTGCATTAAAGGGTATTTTTGCAGTGCTTCGATGTTCTTGAAGTAAGGCTTTATTATATTACAATTGCAGATGCGTAGTATATTATAGCGACTCATCGACAGATTCGAAGATTTTAAGTGGTGCTGGTCTTTCATACAGGCATACCTCTTCTTACTCTCACAATTCTGTGTGAAAGCATTTATTTCTAAATCTTTTTCTGTTTATATGTAGGAGTTAAATCGTTATTTCCTATATCATTCGTTAAATAGTTTGATGAAATTACCTAAGTTCAAATCGTTTTCATGTCTGAAGACATACATGATGAAATTACATTTTAAATTGAGAAATTCCATTTAAAATTTCCTCAAGATATGAACGGATGGAATGTGAGCTACAGCTGAATCCGGAAATTGGATTTGTTTGCTGGGAAAGTTCACTGAAAATGCCACCACGATGTGTATTCTATCGATTGCACCACTTGAATGGTGATCGATTACCAGCAGCAACATTACAGCATCTCATTTATTTGCCCCAGCCAAGTCTTACTAACGAATTAAGCCAAAGGATTGGTTTGTTTTCCCTTTTATGCTGAAAGAATGTCGCTCAAGCTTCTTTTTTTGATAATTTATTTTAAGGCACTGTGATTATCAGAATAGTATTCGTTTGTCTAAGTATATAATGACTTGTAAAAGTCAAGATATTTTCTTAGTTTTTAGGATTTAAATTCTTTCTTCAGTTCGAAGAATTTTTGCTAGAAAAAGCATTTTAGAAAACATATGTACACCAAAAGCTGCAGCCAAGGAATACCCTGAATTAATTGAATATCAATCAAAAAATTCTAAACGAAAACACTACGCATTGTTACTGAAACCATTTGGAGCAATTAGAGGACTTCAATATCCGGTTATTCAGCTTGTTTACGGTGGGCCTGGAGTGCAACTGGTTCGTAATGCCTGGTCCACGTCAGTTCCGTTCCTTTTTCTACTCATTTTAAGTTCCAGCTCATAATAAAAGTATGAAATCCTTGAGAAAGTAAAAATGAAAACATGCTTTATAAGATTTTTGAGCTTAAAACTTCTCTGGAACACTTCATATTTTTGAAACAATATGCTGATGGTTTGTTTCAAAACAAGGTTGAACAGATCTGTAGCTTGTCATCTGATGGAGTGATATTCTCCCAATTTTGCTTTTAAATTGCTTTTTAATTCATTTAGAACACTTGTTACTTTTTAGATGGGTTGGTTTCCGAAAATTTGCTAGTCTTGGTTATGCAGTGCTTATGGTTGATGGACGAGGTTCTTCAAACCGTGGCATCTCATTTGAGGCTGCCCTAAAAAATAAACTAGTGAGTGAAAAAGGAATAATGCGGATTCGTAGAATTCAAGCTTTATCCTGGATATTGCGAAAATTCCAAGATTTCTTTTATTCAGGGAACCGTGGAAATTGAAGATCAAGTAGAAGGTCTTCGAGAAGTAGCGAAACGAACTAATGGTTTACTAGATCTCACTCGAGTAGCAGTAATGGGTTGGTCATACGGCGGTTATCTGGCGTTACTTTGCCTCGCTAAAAGTCCAAATGTGTATAGGGCAGCAATCGCCGGTGGTGCAGTTACATGTTGGAGGCTTTATGATACAGCCTATACAGAACGTTATTTGGGCTTGCCATCTGATCCTATTTATAAGGATTCTTCAGTTCTAAGTTATGTTAACCAGTTACCGAATGAGTAAGTGTTTCCAATTTGTTTGCACCATATTAAGGTAAGCGTTATAATTGCAGATAATGTTCGTTCGCCGACTCTGTTCACGGTTTAATCACCATTCTGAATGGAAATTTCTATCCTTTTCAGAGTTGATCGTTTGTTAATTGTTCATGGTTTGATCGATGAAAATGTACACTTTTCTCATACTGAACGTCTCATTGAAGCCTTAATTGCAGCTGGCAAACCACATCGCTTGCAGGTATCTTTTTAAATGGATTTTAATGAGAGATCATTGATTGCAGTGTGAGACTGCAAAAGGTATTGTAAAAGTAGACAAGTTAGGATTACTTTGTCAAGTAATTTTTTCATTTCAAAGAAAAGGTGAAGCAGAATAGAACTGTTTTTATAAGCCTTATGCAATCAATGATTAGAGCACGAACATTTTTAGGGAATTAGAAACTAGAGTTCGTTAATTTTATACCATGAAGCTTTTTCTACTGAAAAGTCGTTTTCCTTGTTTTTCTATTATAACTTCATCACAGATTTTCCCATCGGAACGTCACGGTGTACGATCTGTCGAAGCAGGCGAATTTCATGATGCTTCTATGTTATCTTTTTTATGTCGTGCTCTCGCCGTTGACCATTTACATTCAGATGTTATGAAAAGTTTAGAAAAGCCACTGTAATGAGATTGTAACTGGTTCTTTTTTTGCAACTATTGGTATATTTCTGGATTTCTTAGGTTAAATGGATCTTCTGATTTCAGCGGAGTCTCTCAAATTGTAATTTTAAAATTATGAATTATTCTTTTACTCGAGCAGTTTGTGAAAATGTTATCGTTAAAAATGCTATCTGCATTGCATGTCCATTTATATTTCTTTAAAGTTTTGGTAAACATGTTTTTTTTCACAGTCTCAAGAGCAGCTGCTTTTATTTAAGTTATTCATCTTATTAACTTATTTCTTTATGTAATTATTGACTAATATTTCCAAAGCCGAGAATTGAGCACTATTTTTATAGGTTTATCACTATTTGTTTTTAGAGATTGATCAACCAAAGACTAGATTTGTAAATAATAGCAAAGTACGGTTATGTTAGGACCTTACAAATTGCAAGGGCAATTTGTGTATTCAATTTGTGTTGTATCTCTCCTTTTATAAATGTTAAATTGCTAGAAGTGATTGGATTGAAGCCGACTAAAGTGAAGAGGATGTCATTCGGTATTTGCGCTATGGAAATATACAGGAGATGGATGTTATAGAACTTCTTGGCAATGTATTTGTAATGGGAAAAAAGAAAGTCCAGCAGTGTTGAGTACGTGAAGATGTATCTAAGGGTTGTCAACTAACAAGTACAGGAGTGCTATCACATTTATCCCCTTCTGATGTTCTTGTATAACTCCTAGACGTTGACCTTTATTAAAACTACAGAATGTGGCTCAACAGCACTGGGTTGCTGGATCACTGGTTATGGTTGGGCCGAGTTGCGTTTCACGTTTCACGTTAGTTGATGAAGAGGGGTAGAGTGAAACATTACTAGGTAGGATTTGGTTATACTGTTGTTAGTGGTGGTGATGTGATGGATAATTATATATGTAGGTACTGAGAAGGCAAAAAAGACATAAGTCTAATTAAAAAAAACATTCCCTGATATTCAACCAAAGTACATCAAAGGAGCGAGGTTGAGTAGAATAATGTGCTCTTCCTTGTAACATTCTTGAACTTCATAATCTTTATAGAAAGCTGAGATGGGTGGGGATATCCTGTGAGAGCAGTTTGGTGAGGTTAATTCGGCCACTGTTAGCTATCTTCATCGAACTGCACTCTCATATCACTCTCACCGAATTTTCTTTTCTCAAATAGTCGAATTATGTCGGTTTATTAACTTCATCACTTCCCGTTCTTCACTAATCTATGCATGAAGAAAGACGAGAACCTTGTGAATGGATGACATAACAAAATATAGGGCTGTATGCCTGGTTTAGAAAACAACGCTAACGGGCAGGCATTAAGGCATCCAATTTCGGAGATTAAACTCTGGAAGTTATAATTGTTCGGGAGATGGCGACATGAAACATAATCTGCCAGCTCTTCCTCTAATTCGATTGGAATTATCGAACTGCACGTTATGGCTTATGCATGATTGGTGCTGAATACATTAAGTTTTCAGGTCAAATTTGGTGAGTCGAACTGAAGTAATGAGATGTCTGCAAACAACTCATATTTAGTGCCTGAACAGATCTCCAACGCAATTTACGAACCTTCATCAATGCCAGAAAAGAAAGTTGGTGGCAATAGGGAAAAAGCCAAGCAATGGACATATTATATTGAAACACTTAACCGAACCATTGATTGCATCTATGAAATCTGTCACAAAGAGCAAACCGTTAATGGATGCAAAGTTTCTGATTTCCTGTTAATTAAATTTATTAATATATGGATGTTAACTGCGACTGTGTTAGAAACAATAAGTGATAAACTCACCGAATTTATGATCACAGTCGATTCGTTCACTTAAGATTAGAAGATCTGCTTCACTCTGCATACTTCCCTGCAGTCGGAGAAGATAAGAATCTGGATTATTTTAGAACAGCTCGAATAAAAATCTCAAACTATCGATTTTTCATTTTTCTTCTGTTCAGGAAGCGCTAATGTATCTTTCGAATTCCGTTCGCGATTTTGAATCACTCATTAAAACAATTCAACTGGAAGTTGGTTGGGATGAAAAGAGCAGCAGGTACACACTTTTTCCAACTTATATTTTTAGTATATCCAGTAGTTTAAGAATAATCTACCAACAGGTGTGGTTTGCACAAACATAATAGTCGTGTATAAATATGAGATCATGAATTTGTGACTATTCTCTCCTTTAATTTCTTTATTTATCTTATAGGCGACATGCAGTCGCTTGGGAAATTAGGAAAGCAATATCACCATCTGGAAAGACAATCGTTGAAGGACCAAACAAAAAGAATGCTGACACTCTCATCAATATGCTTAAACTGTTAGTCTTCAATTTCTTTTTTCTTTGTTAAAAAAGTTTGGTATATACTCTCCTATATTAGAAAAGGTTATAGTCACAGGGTTTTCTTCGGATTTGCAGTCGCAAAAAAAAGAAAAAAAAGGGATTTATTTCGGACTTAAGAAATTTATATGTTCCAGCGCAAGCCGGATATAGAATATTCGCTCTTTCATGCTTGTATATTAGGCCGGAATTGTCCCAATAACGAATGATTCAGTTACTTAAGGTAGCGGCAGTGTGCCATAAGATTTAAGAATGGAAAAGTAAGTCATGCAGGGATCTGAAGTCTCATGAAAATATTTTGTATAAAAAATAATCAAAATCGATCGAAAAATTTAAAAGTTGCTTTTGTACCAAAATGAAATGTTATTTCCTCTATCAGTTTCTACATCTGCTCGCTATCTGTTATATCTATTTTTTCCTTTTGGTTTTCCATTTGTGATCTTCTTTCGAATATGTATTATCACGTTTGTGAACGCTTTTTGTTACTGAAGCTCTCTGTAATATCTTTCGAACATAAGACCATAGTTTAGCTTTGGATGCAAACTGATGAATTTGCACTTGTCTTCTAAAGAAACATTGAGATTCACTAAACAACCTGCTGCTCGAGTTATTTGAATAACCCACTAGGGATTTGATTGAAGAATGAAGTGGGAGCAGTGTGTGTTCTGCTACATGTGTAACTGGTGAATTGAAATTTGTACTTCTGAGATTGGAAATTGAACAGCTTTTTGGTAGGCTTACCTACAGTGTTTACAAGGTGTTAATGTTGAAGTCCTTCTATACTTTTAACCCGGATAATTAATTTTTGAATAAGAGTTTGATGTTGTGTTTAATAACATCGATTTTGCCTTTGCTATGGTGTTGGGAAACATTTCATTGCAAGTCTGTCGTCTTCGACACATAGTAGGAGAGCTAATTTTTAGACGAGTTTTCTTGAAATACATTTAGCGAATTGTTGAATTAGGAGTCCTTGTTAGCAAGCAGTCTTTTGTGCAGCAATAATTGCCATGCTTCGAATAAGATCTATTCGTTTTTTCTTTTTTAGCAGTTTTCTTTTTTGCGGCTTGAAAGAACAGATTTGTTTTATTTTAAAAGCTCGCCTGCTTATCGATTTTTTTGATTCTTGTAGTTCTACTGTTATCTTGAACAACAGCATTGTCATGTACCAAGTATTTCAAAATAGGTCAACTGATGATTTATTTGTGACGGAGTATAACACAGTTCATGCAGAATTTCGAACTAGATATACCGCGATTTGACGGTTGGTTCTGATATTTGAAATGAGGCTAGGATATTTATAAGGAAGTTTTAAATGAAAAAGCAATAGGTTTACCCTGAATCTAGGCTTATTTTTACAATGGCGATATGTCCTTGATATCTTGCTAATTCATTGAGATTACTTTGCTGAGAAATGACCCACTACTTTTGCATGAAATATTTATGCTGTAGAAATCATAAAAGTTTTTGTGAGTCTTGCAGCAAGGATCAGTGTGATTACTTTTACAAATATATTAGTTCTAACCAATACCTCAGCTCTGATAACTCCTTTGTAACTTACATTTTGGTTTAGTTATACTCTGGTTTTTCTCTTTCTTTGCAAGACATTATTATTATTTTTCCGTTTTCATTCATCTTCTGGATATTTTGCTACGTATTAGAAATTCTTTGAAATTTCAGAATTTCTTCATTGTTTGTCAACTATCTATATCCGACTGTTTTTCCAACTGATATGTCTGACTTTTTTTCTACTGACATTTTAAGCGTTCTTCTTATCATGATACCGTTTCACGACCACATGTGATATCTTAATTTTGCAGTGTTTTGGCTTTACTGAAACCGTTTGGGGTAAGCACCGTAGATTTATTACGTTGCTGGCGAAGCATCATTTGATCAAGTACTGTCATAGGCAGTGCTCTGTTGCAAATACAGATTTTTCAACATCTCGTATTTTTCTTTTTATTAAAAATTTATATCACTTGATACTCGAAACTCAACAAGTTATTTTGTGCATATATTTTAATTTTTAATGAAGTAACATTTCTTATATTTATGTTATAAAATGATTCTGGTTGTAGATCACCAATCGTTGTGCATGAGGTTGTCCAGAGTGCGGAAAAAAAAATGAATGCCAAATTACCACAATCTGCACCAGCTTTATTCTCTTCAACCGCAGCAACACTACAGCACAACGAAGCGTTATCAGATAAAGAAAATTATAAGAAAGGGATGGAACTGAGCAAGTTTTATCCTTTTCTTGTTTTTATTTTCTTTAACTTAATCGTTACTTTACACTTTTAGCTAATGCAGTAAGTTAAAAACACTCTTTTATTGTTTTATTTTCTGATTATGCTATGTGAAATTCCGAAACCAAAAGCAACCTAATTAAACAAAATGAAATGACTTGCTGTCATAATGAATTTAGTTCACAATACACAAAATGATAATGCATTCATACGTATTTGCATTGAGTCTACATGGCGCTCTCTACACTATGTGCCTGAATGGCCTAACATCTTTATAGGTGTTGCATTATTATTTCCTAAACTCATTTTTTAAACCTTCCTCTTAATATTAATTATTTCACGAAGAAATTTGATTTCAATAGTGTGATTGCGGTACATGCTTCCCTTTGAGCATGTCTTTATTAATTCATACTGAACAATTTGGTTTTTGAAAAATTTTGCAGGTTCGAAAATCTACAGGGAATATGCATTATTGATAACATAATAGTATTCATTTACAGTGATGCTTATTTTTAAATGGGTTCCTGGAAATAGAGGACCGATAAGAACAATTTTTTTTTTTTTTTTTGTAGAGGAAGGTCAGAGTGATGATGGATGGCATTTAGTAACAACGCGACACAGGCGGCGGAAGAGTGTTGAGGCCGACTCTATCTTGACTAACAATAAAGAAGGGGAGCGTAATATTGCAATGACGGTACTTATTTTAAATTTGAAATCCGAATTGAAGTTTGATTTGAAAATCTGTCATTTTCAGTTGATAAAAAATGTAGCTCAATTGTTGATATTTTTCTGCATAACGCGCAGGCGTCTCCGAAAAGGACTTTTATGAATGTTTATGAGCGCTTGTCAACTGGTGTCCTTCGACCTCCGAATCTGTCAGCTCGTACACCAACTCTTTCGGAATCTGGTGGGCGAGGTTTAATGTATCCTAGATGTGCAATGGATTTACCACAAACAAAAGTAAGTTATGAACTTTTACTGAATTCCCCACCAGAATTCCATTAAGTAATATGAAAATTTTTTTTTTAATATATACAATATACGTGAATGTTTATCCTCAGTTTATTATTAATGTTGTCATGGTTATTGCTTTCTAATGAAATAAAATAGCTTGGTAATAAGGAATATATTATCATAGGCGTCCATGGCAAAAGTTGCTTACTGTCGGCAGTTATTGTGGAAGAAACATCAATTAGATTTGGCAGAGAAGATGGAACGAAGGCGTCGTCAAGATTTGCAGAACGCCCGCAAAGCTGGTTCCGTCCCTGCTCTTTCGGCGATTAATTTTGCTGATCCAGATGCTGTTTCACGCAGTGCTGCAGCGTTTAAAAATCGGAGGGTATTTGTGATCTTTTACTTCCAGTTACCATTAATCCTGAGGTCACTATGGCGTCGATTTGAAATAGGGGGCTAATGAGATATCGTATGTTCAATAATTTTTAAAAAAACAACTTAGTAATTTTACCCTTTGTTTGGTAGTTTTTTTTTTTTTTTCGCATTATAAAACTATTATTGTGGATAATTCTCTTTGTTATTTTCTCTTTTTAAAGTCATCATTGCAGAAAGTACTGAAAAAAGATGGGACTGCTGGAATAGTGAAGGAGCGAAGTAAAAGGGCAAGTTTTGAGCGCATAGAGGTAGGTGATACTTTATTTTTCCTTGTTGTTTTACTAATGACATTCATAATCAGTCCTTCATTATCAGATAAATTTATTGCTTGTTGGCCTACTTTGTAGGAATTACCATCGGAAAACGACGAAGATCGTGAGAATATCCCTGCTGATCTAGAGGAATCGATTGCTATCTACTCCAACTCGAATTATTTTACTCACAGCAGGTATTTGAAAAAAGCTAAAGCTTCATATTACAATGAAAAGTTTGTTTTGTCGAAACAAAGATTTTATTTAAGATCTGAACCACCATTATCCGAATTGGTGCTGCCTGATGGTATAGATATGGATGATGCATGGAGAGCAATGACAGAAGAAGAGGAATCATTGGTGCAAGAAGAAGAAAGTTTAAAAAAAGAAATTGAAGAGGTATACTGTTGAATTGTGTGCAGAATATCCAGAACTGTTAGTAACTCTCAGATTTTATATCTTTTGGATTTTTATACAAGATAGTTTGTTTCATTTTGTAAATTGTCCCGGTTGAATTCAATGAACTAAAAGTTATTATTACAGGAAGAAAGTATTTCTATTGACGAAGAGCTGGAACGACAAGTGGCTGCTGAAGCTGCGGCACTGGAACAGTTGGAAACTGAGGTAACTGAAGAAGTAAGTTGTTAAATTTTCCCTAATTGTTCCTAATTTCCCTAATTGTTTGTGTCTTATTTTGAATTCATTCGTATTTAGTTTAGATCTTGCTACATGGTAGTTGTGATGTAGAGGAACCCACTTTACTTAATTTTTTCCTCCTGTGAGAGTTGGCGGATTGCTTTGAAATTATGAATAAAGCAAAGCTACTTTACCGTGACTTACTTATATGTCTCTCAAAAATAGTTGAGCTAGAAGCGGAATTCCGTTGTGTGTAAGAAACATTTTTAGGATGAATGTGAGGAAACTGTTGAGGCAAAATCATGCAGTAACAAAAAAGCCCCAGCAACATGGCAAGATGTCGTCAACAACTGGAAACGTCTGTTTTCGTTTGCTTTGGATTCTCGCTTCTTCTGTTCTTACTTTTTGTTTATTAGATTTTTTATGCGATCATTGTTTACTCAGTTCAATTTGCAGAGGAAATGGAGGAATATGCATCGGTAAGTTGGAGTGAAATTGTGGAAAGAGAAATTATTCGTTATCGTAAGCCGGGGGAGTTTGCTGAAAGGCATGAAAAGTTATCTTCACCGAGCAGGAAAAGGTAAATCAGTATTTCTGTTCAAATCATTCACTTCTAAAATATGCATTCTTTGCAATTCCTTTTAGTTTTCAGTTTTGTCTCTTAAATTCTTATAATTTTATTTAAAGAAACACTGAAAATGCGACAGAGCGACACAAGGAACGACAAAGAAGAGCTGAAGAATTGCGTCAAATGTTGCAGAAACAGAAAGCTCAGCGATTGAAAGAACTGTCCAATAAGGTCGATGCATATTTTGATCAAGCTGCTGTAGGTTATGACAAAGTCAAAAGTGAAGTCAGATTTATAATTCTTTCCATCATTGTTGTAGGTGGAAGAAGTACGGCGAAAGCGGGCTGAACTGACTGAACGAAAGCTTGAACACTTACAGATGCGAATGGCGAAGGCTGAAGAAAATCGTCAAAAAAACATTGAAGAAAAAGTGAAAAAGGCACGGGACGATGACGTCAAGGTTGGATAATGTTTTAAAGTTTAGAATTTTGTATAATTTTTACAGTTTCTGTAATTCAATGTCATTTATTTTTTAAAAGATTGTAATTGCTTTTATCTTTAAGATTATTATAGTGGGGAAAATCTTACCATGAGCTAAGGTTATAGGGAAGATATTGGAAAAATTTGAGGCTTTTACGAAATCTCAACTTTTCTTAAATTATTTGGATTCTATCATGTTCATTCTCTAAATTTTCAGCAGGACTTTGAATAATTTTAGGATATGAAAAAAACTGTTAACGAAATGTGTTTTTTAGGTTATGGAAGTGCAGTTCATAAACACAATAGGAGCACATAATATGCGGCATGATGCTATTGTTCGTAGTCAGGAATGGGAGCAGAGAGTACAGACGATTGCGAGCGAACGAGCTAGAAAAAATGAGGAAAAGGCTGCTAAAGAAGCTGCAGCTGAACAGCGTCGAAAAATTGCAGCAAATGTAATGGTTTTATTTCATTGTTTGTTAAAATCTGCTTGTTTGTTAGTCGACAAAAAGATTGAATATGAAAATAGGAAATTATCGATCGCATACATAATTTTGACCATTTCAGCAACGAAAACAAAAAATGCGCGAGAAATTTGAGAAGCACAAGTTGCTGGAAGCACAACGTAACGAACAGGAGAGGGAAAGAAGTGAAGTTGTTCGAGAAAAAAATAAGTAACATTTCCTACATAAAAATGTTTTTGGTGTTGTCTAGATTGGAGTTTTACCTACATTTTTTTAATCAATTCATGACAACACCAACTTCGATTATGTTTTAGGCAGCTGAATGAGCGAGTTGCGGAAAAGAGGGCAACGGAGGCTGTTGAAAGTGCGAAGTTGATGAAGAAGATCCAGAAAAAGGTTAGTACTTTTATATTTTAATATAATTAAGGTGCCTCCATGCACAAATCGGACTCTTTTCATATGTTTTACATTAATATTCATCTTCTCCCTTTTGACTTAATTATATATCTCGGTATAGTGCAAATTAGGCAAAATGGACAGCAAAAGAAATTTGGAAAGTCTTTCAAAAAAAAAAATTTTAGCAAGAAGAAACACGTCGTCGTTATGAGAATACTTTAACACAAGTAAAACATCGTGCTGTTGAATTGAGCAGTCCTAGACCGATGGAGTCAGTGGTTTCTTTGGCCGATTTTAGCCAGATACCTTCGGAAATTCCCTATGTTTCAATACTCGAAGGTGTAATTGGTGGTGGGAGCTCTAAGAAATGCAAACTTTGCGATACTCTAGTTAGTTCTTTCTCCATTTTTTTCGCGAATGCTTTGTTGTTTCCGAAATTTTGAATAGAGACATATATAAGGCATGTGTGTAGCTGTGTCACTCCACTATTTAAAATAAAGGGTGCTCTTTTGTCTCGTTGTTCACAAGTTCCCAAATAGAAATACCTTTTCGGTTCTTTTTTGGAATTGGGCTGAGGTAATGCCATATCGAGGCACTTTGTTTATGATTTAAATTTACACTGTATTTAGTAAGCTGGACTTGTGCCCATGCTCAATATTTTAGCTGGACAGTGACTTTTTCGTTATGTCACATTTCCTTAGCGTTTCGCATCTGTCCAAGGCAAATATTGACATCAAGGAACTAACTTACGATTGTTTGGTAGGCAAATTTCTTAAACTTTTTCATAAACGCTGTCGGATATGTAGGGGATTTTTGTCCATATAAATGTAACTCTGACTTGCTGACTTGCTAAATTTTCGAAGTTGGAACTTTTGAATTTGAAATTGACTGAGCTTTAATTATTCAGCCATTTTTCAGAAAACACAGATCGATCAGAATGCTGAAGATATTGGTGTTGAGGTAACCAGGCAGTTATCTATAGGAGGCGAAAGTGAACTTTCGAAACAAAGTACGAGTGCCAAGAAACGTCGAACTCGTCTTCGACAGAAGATCCAGGCAAGGTAAGAAATAAGTTATAATTAGCTGAAAGTTTTTTTCTATCAGATTAAACTTTAAATCAGACTTTTACACGTAATTTGCAGAGCTAAAGAATACGAAAACATAATTGAACAAAGCAGTTTAGCTGAATCTTATCGAACTCCATCTGGAAAAACAAGGTATTCTGCTAGTTAGATATAGTGTTTATTGCAGTTTCTCAATTAATAGGTTAAATTACAACTACCCAAGTCATATATATTTCTGGTAAAACTTAAAATATTAATTGTTGTAGTATTGATCGTCCTCTTCGGGATATCGCAAAAGTGTTAAAAACAGTCTTGGGGGATAGTGCAATTAAAGATCGCTGCAGTGGATTGGCGAAGGAGTCATTTCAGAGTAAAGTTTATCCAAGCACCGATTTGCATATCCTTGAAAGGTCGTTGTCCGAAATTCTGCGTGCACTGCGAACATCCGACACGGTTTCTTAACTTTTTTAGATTAGAAATGTATCAGAAATAGTTTAACCAACCTTTTTATGTTTGGTCTCTCCAAAATTTCAATTTCTTTTTAACTCTTTCATATTCTGGTTCCCTTAATTTCAGTCGCAAAAACGTGAAATGCTTTTGAAAGCAGTAGTGCAGAATGGTTTTATAGATGTTTTGACGGCACTGATATCTTGTGCGACTAATGGCGACACAGTTATACCTTCCAGGTTACAGTTTAGGATCATTCTAACATAAAGTTTTCTTGTCGTTAGATGAAGTGCGTAATGCATTGACTACGCTTGTCTTTATTGGAATGAATAAACGGATGTTTTCTCTATCTTCTACCGGCCTGTTTTTTAACATCATTACTTTTTCCGGGGTAATTTTCTTTGAAAACATAGTGAAAGGATGCATTGCCACAACTCGTCATTTCTCTTTTCGATCGATTTTTTGAGCGATTTTAGTCGATTTAGGGTAGTTTTACCGTACCGCTGCGTTCGATAGGTTGAAGATCTTCTAGATTCGTGTCATCATTGTTTTTGTTGTTTTCAACTTACAGAACCTACTGTAAAGCGTTGTCTATCCTTGGAGAACTTATCACTATCGACAGATTTATTGCTTCAAAGTTCTTTTTCTCCAATCGGATCTTTGCACTGTTAGATGCATATTGCATCAAGTCTAAAGTAGGTTGTTTAAAAATTTTTTATTACTCGTGTTGGTGGTTACAATTATGCTTTATTTGCATTAGAAATTTGTATTCAACCATAATATTGGTGCTATTCGATCCTCAACGAAGTACGCTTGAAAATTTCAAACTCGATGCCAGAGTCATTAACAGTGTTTTTGAGAGAATGAATTGATTATAAGCTTTCATATATTCAATAATTCACTTAATTTTTTTTTTTTTGCAGATGATGGTTTGGCAGTTTCTAAAAGAATCCTCTCAAATACCATCCAACGATGGATCTCATCGGCTTCTAATTGAATGTGTTATGTTGTGTTCGACATTTTTATGTATTTTGGGCAATTTGTATCCAAAAGTCAAAGGAGAAATTTCAAGTAGTGCAATCGTATTTGGCATTACAGATGACGACATATACGTAAAACTGCTGCTGAGGTTTCATTTTCATATGCCTTTTATCTTTTTTGATTTTTCTAATCATGTAGTTTGCTTACATTTCATTTTATAGGGAAATTTCAACAATGTTGCATAGCTGAAAACCTTTTTCTTGTTCAAGTATACCTAGGTTTCAATGTTATTGCATTTGAATAACATGGAGTTACTCTAATACATAAATGCATTATAAAGTAATTCTCTCACGACATTTCTGTATCAGAATCTTAGCACTGATCAAATATAGATTTACACATATGTTTCACTAGCATAGTACAGAACAATGTCAACTATTGCTTTAATTGCTATGATTTTGCTGTTGTTTTAATTACCGTTGTTTTAATTTTGCAGCTTAATTCATTCGAATGGCTATAGTGATACTCTTTCGCTCCTCATCAAACACACAGGCACGATCGATGCACTACCTTGGTCAGTTCAACTTGATTCTAACGCGATTGCAATACCTCTCATGGTTTATATTGACATGATTTTGGAAGCTGGTGGGATACTCTACCTCTTTGCATGTAGAAAAGGGTTTGTTTGCTGACGTTTCTTCAGATAAATTTATTGTTTTACCTCTTTTTCAAGAAATATTTTAGTATTTCGTACTTTTTGAATTTATCTAACGGCGAATAAATTTTTTTAAATATGAAAATATTTGCCTTAATATTCTACCTTATCTGTATTGCATTTAGAAATCTGTACACTCATTATGTACACTTATTCAGTGAGATTGCATGATTATGTGATGCTATGTGTTGAAAACACGACCCACAACTGCTGATGAAAAAGAAAAGAAAAAATGAACTTAATTTGCTGTAACAGAGTCGATAATATCCTAAAAATAGGGGTTAAAAATGTTTTCATTTTTCCCTTTTTTCCTGAGACAACAAAATCAGTAACCAAAGACTAATATGTTCTTTTATCTTTAATGTTTTAAAGAGTTATAATTTTGCAAATGTTTGCAATTCTGCTAGCGATGCAGACGGTATCTTTTTCAGTTGTTTTGATGGGCTAGAGATGGATAGTTTGTGTTTACAGTAACGAATGATATTCCCAACTATTGCACCGTTCATAAGTTCATCATAAGTTGTCCTTTTAAGCTGTGGTCAGTTCACCTACTTATTCTTATTAAACCTTATCACTTATTATATTTTAGAGGAAACGAAGCAGAAGGAATATTATCTGAAAAATCGTCAATCATAAGGTAAATTTATTGGAAATACCTTGAAGTTGGTAGTGAGCTAGGTATAAACCGGAATTCTACCAAGATTTTCTGCTGTTTTCTTTTGCAGTACTGCAGCTCCTGCAGCAATTCAGCAACTCGCAGTTCGAATTTATTCAATGATATCGTCAGACTGCAGTTCATCTGCTGCAGTAGCCACAATATCCGTTTTATCGATAGCAAATCATCGTGAAGAAATTGGTGTTACTCAGCTATTGACAACATCGCTTTTTCAGCTCTGGTTTTTGCTTTTAAAAAGGGAACCGTATGAGGCAGTCGTACGTATTTTTTGCTGAAATATTTTACACGAGTTTCTTTATAATGTAATAACTTTGTTATTCCTTAGATTGGGTTTCTTCTGTTGCAGGTGTAAAAACCCTCTGCTAACTGCTTTATTAAATGCTTCCACAAGATTTTCCAAATTTTGTAAATCGCAATTCGTAATGCAAAGGGCGAAAGTATGCAGGAATTCTTTCCTTTTTTCCCTTTTTCCGTGAAATTTTCTTTCTTTTTTTCTTTTTTGTAGAAATGTCTTGAGGATAGTGAACTTTGTTTACGATTGATCCACATCACTATGACAATGGTGACTCAAACTGAGAAAATTGTTTCTTCAAACGTGGATTCGTTAAAATCGAAAGCTACGGAAAAGCGTACTAGAAATTTTCTTCATTTTCTCATCGAAGTGATTGGATATTTTGCCACTGCTAGTGAACGCGCTAAAGTTAGTTTCTCTCAAACTATTGGATTCAAACAAGCGGACTTGGAAATTTGAATGCAGTTCAAACTAATAAAGCATCTTGCATCCTATAATATATGTCACAAAGATTATTCATAGTCGTGAGTTTACTGGAGAGCATCTTTCGTTTTTGCACTGAATTATTGGATACATTTCAACCAAAACCATTTTGATAAGATTCTTTGCATTTACCGTAGAATTAACTATGGAAAATATCTTCTTTATTCGATGTTAATGAAATCAATAATCTGATGCATTACGTCTAGCCATAGTTGTGCCAGACAGTAAGCCTATATATTTGCAAGAATGCCTGCTAAAGTAATAGTGATTAATTTGATCCAAAATTTGTTAATTCCCATCTATGTTTTATAGATGTTTTGTGTACTTGGTTGGCAACGTTCATTGTTGATACAGCTTGCTTCGCTACCAGTGGGATATTTCTCAAATCGTGAACTAATGGCAATATTGATGCCAACTTTGATCGCTATATGCTATCAAAATCCCATGGCGATCGATTTAGTCAGGCCATCGCTCAGCACAAAAACTTTTGCGATATATCTCGAAGTTAGTTCTCGGTTTCAAATAACTGTATTTCAACTATAGTTCTTCACTTGTGAACGAATTCGTTGAATTATTTTAGAATAAATTATTTTTAATTATTTTAGAATTCAAAGCAATAGGTTGACACTATATTTTCAGTGAATCCGACAGATAATTGTACAAGCACATCCGTTGTGGATATAAGGATAGAGTTGGTTGCTGGTCTTGGGATAACGCATATAATTTAAATTCATTGACAAGACCTAGAAATTTTCCAAAATCTGTGAGTGTAGATAACGCAGTTAAATTTCAGGCAGTGCAGGATAAGCAGTTTCCGGAACCGGCGCGATTTCCAAAGAAGTTTTGGTCTAATGCAATAGAATATTTCAACAGTTGTTAAAACGTCGTAGCAGTAATTTTGTAACAACACTTCGAGTATTGAAAATTGAAACGCTGATAATTGTCAGGTGAAAAAAGAATGATGCATAAAAAACATTAGTCTCCACGTATGTTTTTAACTAATTTGTTTACTGTGTTATGCGTTTAATTCTTTCCTTTTTCTCGTGTACTGGACTCAAATTATTTGATGTTGTATTTGATTGTTTTTTTATCATTTTATTTTGTTAGTGGACCAACAAATTATTTTGCGTCGTGAAATTGCTATTGCACTATATCCAGAGTACTCAATTTTGTCATTATTTCTCTTCATCTTTAATTTTGGATTATGATATATTAAAAAATGAATCTCTTATTATGCTTAGCTGTCGTACAGTATTATTATAATCCAAGCAATAACAGATCTATGCCAATATAATCTTTTATTTTTTCTCCTTTGAATGACCATATATGTTTTTGTGTACAACATATAGGTTATAAGGAAGATTAATTCATTTGCCAGAAACAGTGATGGTAACTGCTTCATATTCAAACAAGATTACGAGCAAAAGCAACGAATTTGACCATATGTTTTATTGGAATTTGAAATTCGTTTTGTTGTTAGAATTTAAAAAACTTAAAATCATACCGCGTATTGTGCAGATCACATTCTTAATTGAAAAAAAAATGAGTTGTAAAAGGCTATATTAAATTCTTATAAATTATATTTCTTGCGAGCTCGACAAATAAAGAATTTTCTGGATTACTGTTAGGGTTTTGTTAGTTGAAAGTGTTTTCTTCTGCACTTGCATTTGCGATTTGTATGTGAATGTCTGGAACGGATAGTGGAAATGAGTTTGAGGAAAGTGATTTTTGTAAGCCCTACATTTAAGGCAGGCAATTGATAATAAATTTATTATTGGTAGGATCGAAGTTATATTTTGCAGATTGTTCCATGCATGAGGATAAATTTTTGGATATCACTGATAAAAGGGCGAAGAATCTGGATATTGAATGGTTTGAATCATTTCGTCGGTGTACTGTATTGAGTACTTTCGGTTCATATATGGATCATTTTGAAGTGGAACAACTGCGTTCGTTTATGCGGTCAATACTTGAAGCTGTATTAAAGAACTATAAATGTGATGCAGATTTCGAAATAAGTGCTAAGGAAAAGAAGAAGCGCAAGTTACTGATGCAGTGCCTCGTAAATGCGGCGAATGGTTCGGAAAAGTAAGCATATCTTATTGATGTTCGGGGTAGTAATTTACACTGTTTAATCGGGAAGATGGTGTGGTTGGTTTGAAGTTTGACATCGAATCATGCTGCAAATTTTAGATAAATACAAGTAAAGTCGTGCATATTCCATCGTTATTGTAAAATGGATATCTCTGTTGTAATAAGAGTGAGTAGCTGAATTGTTTGTTGTTTTGTGATTGTTGCAATTTCACCAATAGATTGCATCTAGTTTTTTCTGAATAAAAGTTCATGGTTCGAGCCATATTTGTTCTGTTTGATCATCAGTTATTCAAATGGTGAAGGTCGTTTTGGGTTGCTAAAGTCGTAGATACATCCTTAATCAAGTTCACCCAGTAAGAAATTGATTTTTCAAAGAATTTGTTTTTCAATGGACAATCTTAATATGTTTTACTTCAGTCTTCGTTCATGTGCTGATGATTATACAGAGAGTTGTCTCAGAGCGTTACTGAAATTGGAATGGTTACAAAACGAAGCATTTGCTGCCGTGATTAATTTTTCAAAACCTGAAAATGGAGGTAATAATATATGATAGTTACTCTAAGTGCTTAGGCCATCCCGTGTTTAAAATGTTAATCACTTTGAAATCAGGAACCATCTGTTTTAACAGTTATGATTTCGTTTCATTAGCTTCGTTAGATCAAGAGTCTGAGAATTCATGGATTACAAATGCTTGCTTTCTGGTGAGATCGGTTATCTCTTTCATCGTTCCTTAACCAAGCTTCTCGCAAAATGTGTGCTATATATAGTTAGATTTTAGTTAATTTCCAAGAATATTGAGCCTGCTGCTGACTTAATAACATCTGTTTGCAGAGATGTACTATAAGATTGCATTTGAATGCAGCATCTTATGGAATCAAGTTTGCCGTGACATAAAAAAGTATGTATGCTGATTAGTTTTTCTGATTTGAAAACTTTCAAGAACTTCAAAACAAGGCGTGGGATTTTAATTTTGAGATTCATTATCTAAATTTCGTGTAATTTCTACACATTATTGTTTTCTACATATAATTTTCTTCTTTTTTTTCTGTATATAATTATGGCTTCAGATTAGGGAGCAACGAAGTGGATATGATGACAAGGAGTAGTAGTGAATCTCAAAATTGTGAGGCCCTGACAAAAGCTTATGATAAAAGGTTGTTCACATGATTTGACCAGTGCCTTGATATTTGGTGGAAGTTTGTTATAGTTATTATGAAAGTTTATTATAATTATTTTTTATTAGGTTTTATTATGTCATCAGAATGTTTCGCATAAAGTTTAATAGCTATAAAAAGAGCTATTATTTTTTTTTAAAACTAATAGCTTTTGGAATACCTAGAAAACAAGTTCTGGAAAAAAGTTCTTCCATTACGTTTTTTCGTTTATAATTTTTGAAGAGTCATTAATGCAGATCCTGGTTATTGGCGATATTTGCTAAATATTTGGAAGTTAATGATGACTTTCTTAATGTTTGTGGGGAAATCATTGAACCATTTTCTATTGATACATTTATTGACATTGTCGACACTGTGATGGAATTTGGTAAAAAAGGTTGTAATATTAAAGTTAGTTTTTGCTCTTGTTACTTCTATATTAGTAATAAGCTTATGTAATAATCTTGAGTATCTTGTGTATTTGCTTACAAAATTTGACACTTTTGCAAGACAATTTCGAGAGCTTTTTAACAAAAACAGAATAATTAGACGTGTTCTCATTTACATCCGGTTTTAATAATGTGGCCATATTCTCAGATCTTATCAATCTGTTGAGCATACTTTTCATATTTATTTTTAGCTTGCTGCCGGGAATGTAAGATATATATTAACCTTCTTAGAAAAGGCACTAAGGGAATTCGGCACATTTGAAAAAGGTAATAAAATGGAAGAAGAATACAAAGGGATGAACAACTTTAACAGTATCTTCCGCATCCATGTTTTATTGGAAATGATTTTGGAATTAGTTTCCCTGGAACAATATCACTCAATATTTAAAGCAGATATAACAGCTGCGAAATTGATTCTTCACATAATGGAGGGGGTTTGTCTTCCGTCTCTAAATTGATCTTGTATGTGGTTTTAATTTTATTCAATTACTAATTTTATTTAGTTACTTTGACAAATTAAATGTATAGATTTGAATCAAACATGAATGGTTCGGATCTGAACTTTGCTGTTGGTCATAGTGCCAATTTTCTTTTATTGGGAACTATAGGGAAAAAGAAAAGTACCGTATTTATTAAATGAGCTACTTAGCAATTTCGTCTATTTCAAATGTTTCAGGTACTGCACTACGATTACTGCAAATACCAAAGTGAAGCATGCATTTCGAAATCCCAAAAGAAATTCAGCGATCGACCTAGGATTAAACTGCTACCAAGGAATGCAGCTAATATAAGCTGCGTTTATAATTTCGCTATAGCTTTAAGGTTATCCTTTTTTATTCTTGACCCATCCAATGATCGTTTGGTTGAGCATTAAGCGCACTAGTACGAAATTACTTTTTATTACAGTTCCATTGTACTATGATCTCACAGTAACAATCTCATACATTGCATGTATAGATTGTTGTGCTTCTTTTTTTCTTTATGAAAGTGTCTTTAAAATTACAAAAGATATTATAATTTAGCATGTTTGATGATGTGAAGCTGATTGAAACCATGAAATTGTCGTGCCTAGAGTTACTGGGTATTCTATGTTACGAAAATGACTTAAACCGTGAATACCTTGGAGCAAATGACAGTATTTCATTATTATTAAGTTGCATGTATATACGCGATGACCATAATCCGATTGGGGTATGTGATGATTGGAATTTCTTTTTCTTTCTGGATTTTTTAGGGACTGTTCTGGATATCTACTTTGTTTAGTGCAAAGTGATGTGAACTAGTATGCGTTACTTCATATTTTACAGTACTTGGTTTACTTTCCAACAAAGTGAATGGAATATTCCCCTCTACCCGCAGCAAACCGGAACGAATGAAATTTCGAAAATGTGAGCATAAAAATTTTGAATAATGTTTTTTTTTTTTTCAGAGACTTTATGCAATTGCTGGCCTGCGACATTTAGTTTTAGGTTATCCACCAAATCAGTTACGACTTGCTCAACTTCCAGAGGTTAACTTTATGGTTTGAAGTTTTTTACTTCTACATGTATATATCTTTGTCGGGATTTAAACTTTTGGTTATACGTTATTGTATACCAAAATTTTCCAATTTCCAGTAGTTTGTTCCATTATAGGTACCGTCGGCAATTATCGAACGAGATGGTTTGTTGAGATCATTAGGTTTGTGTGCTGTGTATGACCAGGAAACAAAGAAGATTCAACTCAAGCCAGTATCACGATAAGCAGAAGTACTTCTTTTTACAGTGGAACACTCTCTTTAATGTGAGACGGAATGCAGAAAAGAGGAAGATAATATAGTATTGAATAACACAAGATGTTGAGGCTGATCTATTTTGTCATTAAAATTTTTTGGAATCAACAAAGACTTGTAAAATAAAAATATGTACATGTATGAACTTGAGCTGTATTACTTTCCACTCATTCTGTATGATATTGATGAAGAAGAATTACTCCATATTATTCAAGTATTCTGATTTGGAAAAGTGCTTAGTTTTATAATAAACATTCTAAAATTTCTTTTAAACGATTGTTTATTTTGAGCATTCAACAACATATCTTGTAAAATTTACGAGTGCTGTGCAACATCTCTCACTTTTAACAGTTGTACAGATAGTAATCGTTAAGTGCAAGAACAAATACTAAGATGGATAGATTAATTTATATTTAAACGGAGGAAGAGAGCAGATTTTGGGGGATTCTGGAATTGTATCATCGTATATATTCCTGTCTTCAGCAAAGGTCGAAATCTAATTTAAATGAGATTTAGAATTTCCGTTTCATGGAAATATGATCTCGGAGACATCATATGCAAGAGAGTTGTGGGCTGAAAACGTTTTGCTTTCCCAAAGAACAGCAAACTAGTAAGAATGTCTATAAGTTGGTTAGTTGTTGAGTACTTTGCAGTTCATTTCAAATTGATTTTTCTCATCTCCAACTTTATCATGTCATTTCCCTCGTAAGGATTATGTTTAAAGACAACATGACATATTTCTTCCAAACATGCCAGTAACAAGTATCCTGTTTGGTCGGCTTCAAACATTCTGAGTGAATAGTAGTGAGAGGAGTAAATATGGCATAGTACAGTTGTCTGTCTACAAACCTGTTAAATAGTAATCTGCCGGTAATTAGCAAAATGATATGTTATATTTAAATAGATGTGAAAGCTAAGATTTTGACGGGGAGTATTAGCTGATAGTGAATTTTCTCTCACAAAAGAATGTTTCCAAAGTTCTACATTCATCTTCCACTTCGCTGTTTAAATGGCATTCCCTTGAATAGTTCTGAATACGATCGTGGTATATGAAGCCAGCTCAAGTCATGAAATGATTATTATGCGGACAGGATGAGTTAAAGTAAAATGGTTCATCTCCATTTCTCTCAGAAATCTTAGATTCTCTATTATGATTTCAGTGCGTTGTTGCTACGGCGCTGTTTGACATTATTCGTGCGATGATGCCTTTAGAAGGCTACTTGGCAATAATGCTTACTAGGAATAAATTTACTCGTCATCTACGGGTAAATATGCGTTGACATGCGACGATAGTTTGTCACTGCAGACTTGTTTTCATTTAACTCAAAATCAACTGCCTATTTACTGTTTCCCTGCGGTATGTAATGTGCATGAACTTTCACTTCGTTTACTTTGTCCCATTTCAACGATCTAACCAACAAGTTTATAGATATCCTAGGCCTAGGCATGTCTAAAAGGACAAAGTAAGTTTAATAGTATGTAAACATTGCCTGGTTCGAGTCATGATGAGTATCCTTTACTGAGGAGCTCTAGATATGCTTCCAGATTGAACAGTAACCGGATTTCATTTTCGTAAGTGTCTCTGAGAGTTGGCCACTGATTGTTGTGTCGTGAACAATTAATTCTATAGCTCTGTAAATAGGGGATAAGGGATAAAGCTATCAGAGAATGAAAGTTTTAGGGAGAGAAGGGGTACAGTTAGAAAGCAAATTATATAAGAGGAAGAGAAAAAGAGAATGAAATAAAGTGAAATGAAGGAAAGGAGGTCAAAAGATTTGGAAAGATTCTCACTGTTTGTCGTCATTTCAGGACACAATCGTAAAGCCCCTCTACAATTCGACAGTAGGGCTTGTCATT